GCCTGCCCCGCCCGCGCTCCTTAGGCGCCTGGCCCCTTGGACCGCTGCTCCGCAGCTCTTCCAAGCATTATTTTTAAACTATAGTTTTAACTTTATGTTGTCTTTTAACTCCCTCCTATGAAATACAAAGCAATTAGGATGCTTTCCCACATTTTCACCTCCGTTTTATAAGGTATTTATCATATATACTTACAAAATTTGTGTTTTGCTTTATCTCATTGTTTATTCTTACTTCAAGTTTCATGAGTCTAATACCCTTTGAACTTTTGCATTTCCATGTGAATTTTAGAATTATTTTGTCAATTTGCAAATACATAGACTTGTTGGTATTTTGGTTGGAATTGCTCTGAATCTGTAGATTATTTCATGTTTTGTGGGTGGTTTTGTTTTTGTTTTTTCGGTATTGGAAAACAAACTCAGGACCTTGGTCTTACCAGGAAGCCGCCACTGAGCCACATCCCTGGCCCATGTTTCTTGGTCTTTATACAAATAGTTACGTGCTTGTTCCCTTTTGGAAATCACTCATTCTTGAATGGAGCCAGACAACTGCTGAAGAATATGGTCAGGCCGGGCAGACACAAGCTAGGAAAATCCTTAGCTTCCACTTTTGTTGTCTTAAATAATCTCTTACTAGTGTTATTTCTTTTGTATGTGGAACACACCTCTTTGATTGCATATGTTTAGTCCTAAATTTGTTCTAGGACGATTTAATGGAGTTTCCCAAAATGCATACAATGTTAAAGAAAGAGAAAATAAAGGCTAATGGAGAAATAAGAAAAATTAGGTAAAGCCCACATATATCCCGAATGTATGCAGTGATACACAAATATTTATTAGACATTGGCCACCATTTGGCCAATGGCATTCAAGCAACCAATCCAAAAACAGAAATAAGATCTTTTATATGAATGTATATCCACAAACTTAAAAACAGTACAAAGGGTCTCTTTTAAGAACCTCAGATAACAAAAAAGAAAATATAAAAGAATGTAAAATGGAGAAAAAGTTTTTAAATTAGGAGATGTACATGTTTTTAAATGAAAGTGAAAATGAGTGAAAAGAAAAATATACGACTGAAATTCAGGTGCACTATTGTCACATACAAAGGAAGCGGTACTAAAAAGTTGAATATAAACCATTTTTGCTTGATGTAAACCAGCTATTTGTTTTGAATTGGAAAAGGCATGACTTAAAAGGAGGACAACAATATTAGTCTGATTTCTCTGCCTCTCTAGATGGCTTTTTCTTTCACACACATTTGTATTTATCAGATAGCAACAACTGTCCATGTTTACAAATATAAGTGATATGCCCCAGAATAACTGTTGCAAAATAAATATTGATTGCTTTGGTCACTGGTTGTAGATCAGGTACTCTATAAAATATGACATTAGGAAGAGGCAAGGATGTTTCAGTCCTAAGGGATTGTTTCTTTCTATTCATCAGTCTGTGTGGCTTTTTAAAATGATTCCATGTGTTATAACAACTGAGTTGCCTAAAAATTTAAGACATTTTCATGCATTACCAGCTTCCCTCACTCCATTTTTTTGTTAGTACCAAAATCAAGATTGGTTTTAAATATTATTGAAAAGCCAAAGATATAGCTCAGTGATAAGAGTATTTGCTTAGCATCTGTGAGACACTGAATTCAATCCCCAGTATCAAAAAAGAGAAAAAGTTACAAATCTGTGAAATGTGTGGCTGAATAATCCTGTGATGCACATTATTTTGGGAGCATAGCAATGTACCTCAGTGAACTCGTAAAGGCAGTGACTCACTTATGTAAATGTGCCACTAGATAAGTGTCTTACTTTCCTCATTGCTGAGATAAAATACCTGACACCCAAAGTTAAAAGGGGAAAGGTTTATTTAGCTCACAGGTTGTAGAGGTTTCAGTCCATATTTGGCTGGCTCCAAGGCAGGGTGGCTTGGCAGATAGCCATCACAGAGGAGAAACAGTTCATGGAAGGCAGAAGGTAGCAAAGCAAACAACAGATGAGACAAGCCTCTCTCTGCACCTTATATTATATTCTGACTACCAGGATTAGGGAGGTGCCAAACCAATCAGCAGACTGATTTACTAATCAACCACCTTTAATCCTAGCACCTTTAATCCCTATTGCACCATGAACCAGTCACACACTCTAGATTCAGCCACCTCTGAAAAAGCCTCACCTATGACTGTGTGAGGCACTAGGGGGAACATTTAGACACAAACAGTAACAATGACCATCAGTCCAAAGGGAGGCCACCATCGATCTAAAGCCAGGACAATCACTTCTTGGCCTTTGGCTAAAATCAAATGTAAAGCCAGGGCAGGTTAAAGGGATTAAAATTACAAAATGTCCCATTTCCTTTTGCCCTCCTTAGCCAGTACAAACCAGGATGAAAATAACTTGATTCAGATTTGTTTCAGAGATTCTGGATTAGATGCCTAGTGGGGTTGCTGTGAACTGTCCCAAGTAAGAAATTGGTTTTAATCGACAATTCATCCTTTTCATTTATTGTAATTTGGAGTATTTGATAGTCATAGCTTTGATTAATCTTAAGGCTAACTATACTTGCTATCATTAACTTATTGTATTAATAGAGCAATTCACAACTTTCCTTTACATTTGCTTCATAAAATACCATTTTCCTTATCCTAGAAGGCGTAATAAAAAAGGTGATGTGAAGATTTGTATTTTGTATAGTGTAGTATGTAAACAAGTTCTTGTCTAGTTATTGCTTTGTAATCTCCAATCTCTTACAGTAACCAAGAGCCATATTTGGTTTTGGGTGTGCAGTTCTATTCTAACCTAGTAGTAGCCTCAGTACTTTATGACTATAATAATGACAGGGCAGTAGTTCAATTTTATAGCAATTTGGATTTTTGAAATGCATTCTCGCTAACAGTTTTGAGTCAGTGCTTCAGAGATCTATCTTATTAAGCACTGACTTAGTACTAAGCTGTTTGGCAGAGCAGCTCTTATCAATCCCATTTGAGAAAACAAAGCACAGAAGTTGAGGGCAATGTCCAGGATTACACAACTACCAAGTAGCAACGCCAGGAACTGAGGCTGGGCTCCTTGTTGGGAGGCAGTGTAGTGTAGACTACTCCACAGGCATGCTGCATTTGTTCAGATACCAGTTCTGCCCTATTCTAGCTGCTTAACCTAGGCAAGTTATTTAACCTCTCTGTGCTGTGTTTGTTGTAGGGACATTAAGAGTTACATAAGTACTGGTATAATTTCCAGCTTCTAAAAGACCAGTGGTGTTTATGATCATTCTAAAATTACCTGGTAGATAATTCAACATGTTTAATATTTGAACGTCTTACAGAAATTCTTTCTTAAAGTGCCTCAATTCATACAAAGTTTTACTCTATTTTTAATGGTGTTGGTAGAAAACACTAATATTATATAGTTCAAAAACATGCTATTTACTCTTAGACACTGATTACTATTTGCTAACTCTACTTTTAAAGTTTAAATTACCTTGCTATAGAGGAGTTTACTTAATCTACGGCATAAAACTGAAAACAGGTAAGAGTTGCAGGGCATAGATTATCCTCTCCTTAAGCATAGTTTGGTTGGTTTATTTTTTGAACCAAAGGCAAATTAATGATTGCACTTTATTGTGGATTTATTTTCATCTTACAGAGTTTAAACATCTTCCAGAACCTAAATAAGCGGCAGTTTGAAACAGTTATTCATCTGTTTGAGGTCACAATAATAGCAACTGATTTGGCTTTGTATTTCAAGTAAGTACATAACTGCCCAACGCTACATTGAGGTTAAAGGGCATTTATTCACAAATGCACACAAGTTTGTGTTCCTTTCAGAATATTAATGAGATTATCCTCAAGGTAGAGGCCTGGCAGTGAATTTAGTAAAAATCAAGAAACATATTTAAAAACTTAGTCTCTCATATTGTATAGCTTTTTATTAGAAGTCTGAATTAAAAAAATTCATTTTTTCATTGTCAGGAGAGTGATGTCAAGAACTTCATATGGGGGCTGGGGATTTAGCTCAGTGGTTCTGCTGCTTGCCTAGCAAGCACAGGACCTGAGTTCAATTCCCCAGGACCAAAATAAATAAATAAGAACTTCATACGGTAGCTTTTTCTCTTGGTGAGTACAGCCTGGTCCAGAATATGGTATGTGGTGTTTCAAGCTCAGAAATTTGATCCTGCCAGAGCACAGAAGCTGAATTACCTTGATGATTCTGACACACATGGGTCAAACTCACAAATCTAAGTTGTGTGCCTATTTATGATATTACCAAGGGGGCCAGATACTCCAAGTATCTACACATTTCCCTGTATGTGAAATATAAAGTTGCTTGGTTAATGATTAGAACAAGGTGAGATAATTAATAAGATGCAAACATTCAATGGCGAGCATTTTCAAATTATGCCTTTCTGAATTTTCTTTAAAAATAGCTGTTAAATACTCCATTCCATGTTCGATTTTGCTACATTTACCTCTGATCTCATTTTTTAAGGAGAAAAAAGAGTGAGTGATGAGACTAAGGTACTCTGTTTTTATTCCACTATGGAATTTCCTTCCCTCTTCCCAAAGGTATCACCATCTAATGTTGATATAATCTTTTCCACTCATATATTTTATATGGCACTGTTAGGCATGTTTTGAATTTTTTGTATGCCATGTCATACTGTCCTTACATATCTTTCTGGAATTTGCTTTTCTCATGCAACATTATGTTTTAAAGGTTTACCCTTGGTAATAAGTGAAAAGCTAACTCGTGTTTCAACTGTATAGACTACTCAGCTGTTAAATATATTATAATTAATGTACCCACTCCTCACAGCCTCTACACTGTTGCAGAGGCATGGATGTTTAGATCGTTTCGTCTTCCATCAATGCTACATTATATATGCTTGTGCATATAAGAGAGTTTCTCTTACACAATGCAGATAGTAATGTCACATGATTTGCGTTTTTTCAACTGTACCACTTTGTAAAACTGTGCTCTTTTGTAGTTGTACCAACTTACCTTCCCCCCAGGAGTGAACAAAATTGTTGTGATCTCACATCTGTAGTACATGCACATTTAAGCTTATTTTGTTAACCTATTGACTATGAGATTAACCTATTGTTCAAATTTGTGTTTTCTTGACTGTCAGTAAGACCAAACCTCCATATATTTAGAGTTCTAAATTTTTGTTGGTTGTATGTGCTGTTGTCACAGTTTGCGGCCTTTATTTTTATATTATGGTCTCCTTTCCCATTTGTAATTTTTAGTTTTAATGTATTGAAACGTATTTGCCTCTTTATGGTCTGTGCTTTTTCTGGCCGAGAGGAGGGCTTGCTCAAAGTTAGTCATTGGCTATTCCCTTATCTCCTAGCCTTGACTGCTATGTTAATGCTCCAGAGCAAAGTAGGAATATGGAATATGGAAGATGAAAAGGACATAGCTAAGATATTCTCTTTCTGCTTTTATACAAGAAACTGTAGCACAACTGTATCTTTTCTAGGAAGAGAACCATGTTTCAAAAACTTGTTGATGCCTGTGAACAAATGCAAACTGAAGAGGAGGCCATCAAATATGTAACCACTGATCCAACCAGAAAAGAGGTTATCATGTGAGTCGTCCGAATTGTGTTTCTCTTTTGGCAAAAAACATCTTTTGCATTTCTATTTTAACAGTTTTCTTTCCTTCTTAAGGGCAATGATGATGACTGCATGTGACCTATCTGCTATAACCAAACCCTGGGAGGTACAAAGTCAGGCAAGTCCCCTTGCATTTTCTTTTCTGCCACACTGAGATGGTGTCTAAATCCCATGTAAAAGTCCATGTGCAGATCTCCAGTGATCTCAGAATGCTATTTTGACAAATCATAAGTGTCAGTGAGACAACAGGTCACTTCATCAGTCCCTAGAATAAGAGGAATAGAGGAAATTGGAAATAAAAGGCTTTGTTGTGGCACATGCCTATAATCCCAGCACTCTGGGAAGCTGAGGCAGGAGGACTGAAAGTTCAAAACTGGTCTGGGAAGCTTAGTGACTTAGCAAGACCCTGTCTCCAAAAAGGGGGTGGGGGGGTAGCTCAGTGCAAAGACCCTGGATTCAATTCCTAATAATGAGAAGGAAGGAAAGAAAAAACAGCTTTCTTGAAAGAGTCCCTTACCATTGATTGAATAGGCTATAAAAATGTATGCAAAATTATTCAGAGACGTATGAGTGTTTTAAAAGGTGTGCTACATCAGAACACTTGTGCTGTCCTCTGCTGTGGCGGGCCTTGCTCCAGTCTCTTCTTTGGTGTGCTGTCAGTTACTAGAAAGCACTCACTGAGGTTCAGGTTAAGTTGTACCTCTGTCACCTTGGGGACCACAAGTCTGAGGCAACATTTGACCCCTTACTCTCTTACTAATTAGAAGAAAGAAGCTTCCATTTTTCCTTCTAAAATTTCTGGCAAAAAACTTAAGCAAAAGACAAACTAGAATTACCTGTGCTCAACTGTAAATCTGGATCGAGTCTGTAAAGGCAAAATAAAAGGAGCCCACAGCAGTGGAGGAAAAATACCTTTCTCCTACTCATCCTAAATTCATGGCTTCTTTAACAAAAGACATACAGGAAAAAAGCACAAAATTGTATTCAGTTGAACATGGGAGCCTTCATAAGGAAATGAAAACCCTAAGCAGTTAAAATTGTATATTATAGGCGAGGCTTGATGAAGAGGTAGACAGCCATGGAGAAATAGAATTGGACAAAGATAATACTCCAGGAATAAAAACCTTTGGCCTGCAATAGCATGTCAATAATAAGTCAGTACATTATCATTTATAACCATCACTGTCAATGGCCTCAACTCACCAATCAAGAGAAATAGACTGGCAAAATGGAATAAGAAGCAAAATCCAGCAATATGTTGTATACAAGAAACACACCTAGTGCAAAAAGAAGCCCACAGACTGAAAGTGAAAGGATAGAAAACATTTCTCCATGTGACAGGAGCCCAGAAAAAAACAGGGGTAGCAATCTTATTTGCAGACAAAGCAAATTTCAAACCAAAACTGATTCTAGTATTATTGATGTAGGAATGTACTGTATCATACCTGTGAATGTAAAATATCTTGTACCTGCTTTATGATACATCAGAGCTTTATCAGAGCTATATTTAATCATATTACGCTAGAATGTTCTCTTTCCAGATGATGATTAAGATGCTAATAAAAAAATGGTGCCAGGTATCACAACAGCAACAGAACTTTGCTGTTTTCTGGATATTATTCTTTTATTTTTTTTTTTAATGGAATGTGCTGAATGTCTATGATTTTGTTCAGTTGACTGCAGAATCTGGAAAAGCTGTTGCTCTTATCGATGCATAACATACTGCTATTATTAGTCTTTTTATATAAATATAAATATATATATAAATTGAATTTTGGAAAACTTTAACGGTGCTATCAACTTTGGAAAAAGTTATCCCAATTTACTGTGTTGAGTTGGCATTGTATAGAAATGGACAGCCATATTGGTCTAGAAATGTTAATTTTTTTTTATTTTATTTTTTTTCCATTTACAGGGGTAACTTACAGCCATGGAGAAATAGAATTGGACAAAGATAATACTCCAGGAATAAAAACCTTTGGCCTGCAATAGCATGTCAATAATAAGTCAGTACATTATCATTTATAACCATCACTGTCAATGGCCTCAACTCACCAATCAAGAGAAATAGACTGGCAAAATGGAATAAGAAGCAAAATCCAGCAATATGTTGTATACAAGAAACACACCTAGTGCAAAAAGAAGCCCACAGACTGAAAGTGAAAGGATAGAAAACATTTCTCCATGTGACAGGAGCCCAGAAAAAAACAGGGGTAGCAATCTTATTTGCAGACAAAGCAAATTTCAAACCAAAACTGATTCTAGTATTATTGATGTAGGAATGTACTGTATCATACCTGTGAATGTAAAATATCTTGTACCTGCTTTATGATACATCAGAGCTTTATCAGAGCTATATTTAATCATATTACGCTAGAATGTTCTCTTTCCAGATGATGATTAAGATGCTAATAAAAAAATGGTGCCAGGTATCACAACAGCAACAGAACTTTGCTGTTTTCTGGATATTATTCTTTTATTTTTTTTTTTAATGGAATGTGCTGAATGTCTATGATTTTGTTCAGTTGACTGCAGAATCTGGAAAAGCTGTTGCTCTTATCGATGCATAACATACTGCTATTATTAGTCTTTTTATATAAATATAAATATATATATAAATTGAATTTTGGAAAACTTTAACGGTGCTATCAACTTTGGAAAAAGTTATCCCAATTTACTGTGTTGAGTTGGCATTGTATAGAAATGGACAGCCATATTGGTCTAGAAATGTTAATTTTTTTTTATTTTATTTTTTTTCCATGTGTACAGGGGTAACACATCGTACTAAATATGTAAGGTCATATCTACGTGGGTTTGATTACAGAAACTAATAAAGTATTCTCTAAATAATGAAAAAAAGAATAAGATAAGACTATAAGAGCAAGAAGCAATTTAAATATGTTCAGGGACCATTTTCATCTCCAGAATTAAGGATTATTTTAATGTTACATCATTGCCTTTTCTCTTTTACTTTCCTTTTTAGTTTTATTTTAGGATTCCCTATTTTTAATGTTCATACAGAGATTTCTTTAACTGAAATACCGAATAGTTTCTTTGGTGTGAAAAACTATAATAGTACACAGGATCCTAATGAGATAATTAATAATGTGAAATAGGAAGTAAAGGGCTAAAGGTGTAGGGAAAGTGGGAAGGGTGGAGGAAAGGTAATAAGGGAGAAGAAAAAATATGAGAAACTGAAAAAATGGAAATAAAGTGTTTGTAAATGGGGAGGGGAGGAGGGGGTGAAGGGAGGGCAGGGGCAAGGGGAAAAAATGAGAATCAAGACCTATTATGTAAAGGTACAGGATCCCAATATTGAATGTAACTGTATTGTATACCTAGAATGTACCAATAAACTCAATAAAAAGAAAAAACAAAAACAAAAAACCTTGGGCCTGGACATCAAGTTCCAACTTCCCAGCACAGTACACAGGGCCTATCACTACTTGTCCATAACTCACACTCCCAAGGACGTTGCCCTCACTCTTCCCTATGTACTGCTGCACACCCTAGCCCTGTTAACACAAGCTCTAGACAGTCCATTTACCCCTGCACAGAGCCAGCCTCTCTTTACCTGGCAAACTGCTACTTACTCTTGATATTATAACAGAAATGCATCCTCTGTTATTTATCAAACTTACCTTTCCTCCCCTTCCCTCAGTCTGTTACTTACCACATTGGCTCATGTCTTCACTAGCCTGTGAGCATTTGAAAGTAAGAGGTTAGTTACATCTTTCCCTTCTTCCCAAATCTGGTTCATGTCAGTGTAAGGCACAGAATGTGATTTTATTTAAATGATAGAAATTAACCTTGAATATCGTCACACTATAATCAAATAAGGATATATACCAATTTTTGTACATGCTGGGTGCTTATAAAAGCTAGACATGACAAAGGAGGATTTGGTAACAGTTGGAGCTTGAAGCTAAGCATCTTTCCAATTCCCCTCTTTATGGATGAGAATTGGTAGCAATACCAATAGCAGATGGACACTCTTGGAATTTGAACACTGAAGAAAAAGAAATAGTCTCCCTTTTCCATTTCAATCTAATCTGTGAATGGTACACCTTTTTAAAACTTAAGAGCATATTATTTGACGTTATACAAGCACTGACTGTAAACTCTTCTCTTAAATGCCACTCATACTAAGAAAATACAAGTTCTCTAGTGAAACAAGCCTTTCTTCTTTGCAGGTAGCACTTCTGGTTGCAAACGAATTTTGGGAACAAGGAGATCTGGAGAGAACAGTGCTGCAGCAACAACCTATTGTAAGGACCTTAACAAAGAATGTATTACTTATTAAAACTTAGCAGTATGGATTAGTGTATTTTGTCCACTTAATCTTGGGAAAGCATCTTTAAAAGATTTCTTTTTCATTCTAGCCTATGATGGACAGAAACAAAAAAGATGAACTACCTAAACTTCAAGTTGGATTTATTGACTTTGTTTGTACTTTCGTATATAAGGTAAGTGTGTTGGATGTCCACTGTAGTGACAAAATACCTGAGACAATAAACTTACTTATCTTGGCTCATGGTTTCAGTTCATGTTCACTTGACTCCGTTTCTGGGATGTAGCAAAGCAGAGCATTATGGCAGGGAGCCCACTGACAGTGTACAGCTTCTCATTTCATAGTGGCCAGGCATCAAAATGAGAGAAAGCGGGGTGGAGATAAAATATACCCTTCGAAGGCACACCCCCAATGACCTACTTCCTCCAGCTAGACTCCCAGCACTTTCCAATAACTCACTGTTAGGATTCATAGATGGATTAATCCATTCATAAGGTCAGAGCTCTCATGATCAGACACTCCCCTTCCCCCTAAAAAGGCCTCACCTCTCAAGGCTGCTACACTGGGGACAAAACCTTCAAGATGTGAACTATGTGATCATTTAGATAGTTAAATTTCTTTCAAATTGTAACCATTGGGAAAGCCATTAGAGGTGTCACATTGTTTTGAGGCTTGACCTAATCTTATTGTGGGTAGAATAGAAGGTGTGAGACCTGAGGTAAGCCAAACAGACCTAATTAGGCAGGTAGGAGACAGCACCTGTGTTTCCCAAACTGCAGAGTCACTGAGTTCTGCTCAGCATAGCAGATCTGAGCACACCATACCTTACAGCACCTTTTCTGCATATGAAAAATACTGAATATCAACTGTATGATTAAAGTATTTTCTGACCTAAAATTCTCTCTAGGAGTTCTCACGGTTTCACAAAGAAATCACACCTATGCTGAATGGTCTTCAGAATAACCGAATGGAATGGAAATCCCTAGCTGATAAGTATGATGAAAAGGTGAAGATAATGGAAGAGGAGGTGAAAAAGCAGGAAGAAGAAAACATGAATGGAAAAGGTTAGATGGAATCTGCTTTTACTCTGCATAAAGTAGCCAGAAGTAGGAATGACTGAATTTTGCATGACGAAAGCATAAAAAATCAAATGCAAACAGGAAACTTACCTTCCTGGTGCAAATTTCTAATTATAAAAAGTTAACTAGTGGTTTCGGGGTATGAAATCATCCAATCTGTGGGATCAAGGATAAGTGGGAATACAGCTTTAGCCTGACATTCTGCATTAGTTGTAAGATTCCGGACTACTTGCTTAATACCTCCAAGCTTAATATTCTTCTGTGTATCAGGTCTTGTGGATCTTTAAGGAAGTGCTACAGTAAAGCTGTCCAGCTAATTGGGGTGACATGAAGGATACTCGAGGATTTTCTTTGTCTCCCAAATGTCTCCACATGGTACTATTTTTTCTGGCCTGAAATTTCTACTCCAGTCCTGCATTGGGTTAAACATTTTCAGGAGGCCTGTTAAAATGCCTCTTGAGGGCCAGGGATCTAGCTCAATGGTTCTGCAGCCTGCCTTGCGGATACAAGGGACCCAAGTTCGATCCCCCTGGTATCCCCCGCCAAAAAAAGCCTCTTGATCTACTAAGTGTCTGTTAAATGACTGAAATGTGATCTTGAAAGTGGAATGCTAATTTTTTTCTTCCAAGTTTTGTACTCTAAAGGTTTTGTAAGGAATTCTTATTGACAAAGAAATCATCTTTGCTTAGGAAGGCCTTTAAAGAAGATGTATTTCTTTTCGATGGTTCTATCGTGTTTGGTGGCCTTCAAATCAATTCATAGAAAATAAGAACATTTTCATTAACAAAGTTAAGGATGTCCTTCAACAGAATAAAAACAGCAGTTTCAGATTCCTGGATACCCATTTACTGTGTATTCCAACAGGTGGAAGTTCTGTACAACGCCCTGTGTTGGGCAAGCCCTTGGGGAAGAGGGGGACCTCACCTCCAAGAGTTTTTACCATCTGAACAGGGAGCTAGATATTAAGCAATGCATAATTGATCTGTGAGTGACAAGGAAAGCAATGAAGTGTGGTGTGTATGTGGGGCATGCAAGAGCTTTCCTGAAGGATGTCTGTGCTAAAGACTCAAGACAGTAAGCTCTAACACAAAAGGAGCAGGGTGGAGGAAAGAAAAAAATAGAATATGCAAAAAAGATGTTGACGTGGGAACAAGCCTGGTGTAATTGAAGAATTTTAAGACATATAACTGGAGTCTAGAGAGCTGCCAGATAGTGCATTGTCTGAGGCCTTAGAATTTCAGTCTTCCAAAGTTAGTGCAGGGGTTCAAATAGGAAAGTGTAAGATCTGACATGCACATCAGCAAGTGATTTTTACTGCACACGTGAAAAGCAAGGGTACCTACTAATAAAGTACTACCAAATTTTACCTTTATCACAAATATACAATGATAACACTATCAGTCTTTTAAGTGGTTCCTGACATTTCAATTTTCCAGTATAATGGATAGAGATCGTCTATCCTTTATTTGCATAAAAATTTACTTTTGAATTTTTTCTACTAGAGAATTCTCTATGAACTAAGAACATTATATTGTATTGTCTCAGTGAGAAACTGAGTTAATTTTCTAACTACATAACATACTATATTTTTAAAAATAAAAGAATTGTGAATACAAATTTGCTTTCGAATGGTCAAATCCTCAGTATTTCCTACAGACTAATTTACTAATAAGGCTAAATGATGACACTGAGAATATTAGAGTAAAAACACTATCTTTACACTTATTCCTAATAATATTGCTTTTCTCTCTGTTTCTTTGTTGTGTGTGTTTTTGTTTTTGTTTTTTTTAACTAGCTGCCCAAGATTCAGGAGATGGTGGTGATGACAAAAAGTCCAAAACATGTTTAATGTTGTAATATAATCCAACTGGTCTAAATTTCGAATATTACCTTAGTTTTGAAGTGAAACAGAAAACATTCAAAAGAACTTCAGTAAATTTTACTCAGCAACTACTAAGTAAGAGAATCTTTAGAAAAATTACTGTGACTACCAAAGAGAATATAAACTGCTGACCTGAAAACCCTGAGGGTAAAATAAAGTTCAACTGAAGTCCAAAAAATAAGACAAAAATAAGTGTGCTTTGGTGCCAATTTATTTCAAACTTAATCCTACAACTAGTTACAAATTTTAAAAAAGTATTAATTATATTTATTTGCTAAGGCTATAGAAAAGTATCATAGACTTGGTTTTTTGAGAACAACAGAAATTTATTTTCTCACAATTGTGGTGGCCAGAACCCAGAATTTCAAGATCCAAGTGCTGGCAGGGTAGGTTTCTTGTGAAACCTCTCAACTTAGTTTATAAATGGCCACTTTCCCCATGTCTTCACATGGTTGTTCCTCTGTGTTTGTGTATTATTAGTTTCATTCTTGTAAGGACATCAGTCGTATTGGTTTAGGGCCTACCTATATGACCTCATTTTAATCTTAAATACTTCGTTAATGGCCCTCTGTGGCAAAAGGATTAGGATTGCAACATATGATTGGGAGGTGAGGGGGTATTTAGCCCACAACATTTATCTTTGTGATTCATACCACAAACTACTTCCTGAACTAAAAATTTCCCATCCACATGTCAAAGTTAAAAACACTGTAGAATGTATCAAGGTATATAAATACAGTACGGAAAACAAAAGAAGAAAGGATGTCAAATCTTATTCCTCCTGAACTGCTTATTATGTCTTTATATTTTTACCCTTGAAAATGGCACGATGCAGACCATAACCTTCTAGGCAGTTTGTAAAAACAGTTATCACTGTCTTATGCTTCGCCTTTAAAGTCTAAAATCAATTATTGTTATGCATAAATACAATTTTTAACACTAAGAATTATTCTCATCGAAAGACTTTTCAGTTTATAAGACACTATGAGGATAATCCCAATGCAAGCTAAATCAGTGCATAAATATTCTGCATCAGTAGGGGTCCTGATTTGATTATGCAGCACAAACCTCACTTATCAAAAGCAGCCTGGAAAGACGTCAACCTAGACTACTTTAAAAAAAAATTATTAACAGCAGTATTCAGGAGACATTGTAAATATTAAATTGTGATGAGAAACTAAGAGCTGCATAGGATGGCACACACCTGTAATCTCAGCTATTCTGGGGGTTAGACAGGAGGATATAAAACTGAGACCAGCCTTGGCAACTTAGTAAGATCTTGTCTCAAAAAACCAAACAAAACAGGACTGGGGATGTGGCTTAGTCCCAGAGCACTTATGAGGCTCTTGGATCAGAAACCTACGGCACTGGTGCTACAGCAGGGTGCTTGTTATCACTGAATGCTCCAAAAGGTTCACCAACCCTGTGTCTGGGTTTATCCCCGAGGAGAGAGCGAGCGAGAGTACAACCAACCTATGAGTTCCATTAATGGTGTATGTCTGTTTGAGAATCAGAGAAATTTAGATTTCCTTCTTTCACTTATCTGTAATAGACAAAATAAGAAAACAATAAACATTAATAAATACCATATATCTTGCCAGTGTTTTGTCAAAAATATCTACATTATAATAAGTGTAAGATCTACGAACCTCAAGTATTCTTGTTATATACAACATAATGATCAATTGTGAACAGCCAGGAATGTGAATCACTATTTGTTAATATTTTTACAAGTTCCTTTTCCCTCTCACATTAGAATGTAAAGTTCAAGAGGAGGGATTTTTGTTTGTCTTACTCACAACTTTATCTTGGCACCCACAGTAATGGCTGCCACAAGGTAACCACTCAGTAAAGCTAAGTGAATGACATTTTGAATGAATGTTATAAAAAACAAATATAAGTTAGGAACAACTAAGTCATTATCTTGGCTTAGTGATACAAGCACTTTATTTCTATTACTTCAAATAATTTTGAGACTTCACTTCCAGGATCACTATTATTTTAGGAATTATATAAGAAACCATTCTATTAGCTTTATGTAGTTTTTGACCCCAAGATCAACTCAAAAAACCTCCCCTCCCCAGTCACCTAAAATTGAACTGAGGGTAGCACTGTGCCACCACTGCCAGTCTGCCAAAATAGGAACTTTGCTTCAGAGCAGGTGTAAGAAAGTTTAAATCCTTAGACCGAGTGTCCATTGACCACCACTGACTATACCAAGAAAAAGTGTGCAAAAGGTATACAGAATTAATGTTTAAACTAATCATTGTTTATATCTATTCCAAAACTAACACCAATTTTGTTTTGGATACTTCAGTTTTCCTCGGCAGTACAAGATTCTTCTTATTCACTAAAAGTGGTAAAGATAAAAACACCTTCAGGAAATGAGGGCACCTCCACATGATGTTTGACATTAATAAAACCTGTTTCTTGATAAAAGCTTCAAAAATATTGCAGAATTATTTCCTAGATGGTTCCTTTATATCAGTGCCCAGCACAGTGCTTCATACATAACAGAAACCTGATTAAACATATGTAGAATTAATAATGACTGTTTAATGGAGGGAAATTATCTGATAGTAACTCCAGTGGTCACCTCAGTTCACGAACTTAATTTGTTCCACAATTCCGGGGAAGATGGCCACATTCAGTTCATGTGGGGAAGATGGCTGCAGTTGTGTTCATCACCCAGTGCAGAATTAGAGAATGGAAGCAAAATTTTGCCAAACGCTTCTGTTTTCAAACTGAATTGTTTGTGAACAAAAGTGTTCTTGAACCAAGGCAATGTTGTATTTTAAAATAGGATACAGAGACCAGGGATGTAGCTTAGCAGTACAGAGGCCCTGAGTTCAATTCCCAGTACCCTCTTCCCCCAAAAAAGACATTCACTTACTTATTTTGCAGTTTATTATGCTAATCATCCCAAGATTAAATATCACTTAAAATGATACAGTGTATATTGAGGGCCTAGAGATGAAACACTTGTAGACAAGCAATTGAAAAGATATATAAGGGACAGGAAAATGTGTCTCTTACATAACTAATAAACTTCTGAAGCACTGGACATCCTGAGAGTGGCTGAATTTTTATTTCCAAAGACCAACCACTCAAGCTGCAACTTGCAGATAAAACTTTTATGAAATTCCAAAATGAGCTTCCACACTATGGAATGCAGGTTTTTCTCTCCTGTCTCATAGAAACAAATCCTGAAAATATTCATCAAATTCTTCTTCCCTATTTAAAAGAAAAAGTAAATATATTAATTAAAATCAGGAAAGTAAAAAATTATTAGGTGACTATGAAATTAATAAAAATAAAATACTTTATTGCAATATACTGGCTGAGTATCCTATGACAATATATATTTCTATGATTTTGCCATTAAATAATTCTTAGTTTCTAGACTAATCATAATTTTCAGATTGATTAAAATTAAAATATTTTACACGTTGGCACCTCTCATAAAATGTATTACCTAAGATTCTACTTTGAAGTACTTTGTGAAATATTATTCTCTTATTTGGGGGGCTATTTACTTTCTCTGTTCATTTTCATTTCAAAGTATAGTCCACTCAAGAAATGAATAAAAAATAAACCATATTTAAGCAAAAAACACAAGTCTTACTCCTAGGATAGGGAAAATCCGCTTAGGCTTTAGTATCTTATTATTCTGAAAACAGTAAATTTATTGCACATTTTAGCAGTGAATGTTTTAAAGACTAGAATTCTGAAAGAAGATATGAATTAGATTATATCAAAATACTTGTGAAAAGTGTAAAGTATTAAATAAGTGTTGGTGCTGGAAGCCAGCATGAGATTGGAAATAACACAAGGTTTTAAGTTAGAGAGTGTAAAGCCAAGCTCTGTCACTTACTAGCTGTGTGAGCAAGTCACTCTCTATACTCAGTTTCCTTAGCTATTAAAAGATAATTTACATTCCCTCATAGAACTGTTGAAAGGATTAAATGAATACACAGTGATTTTAGTTCTGGGAATAGAAAATTAAGATGGATAATAAAAATAGCCTACCAATCTCCTTACTCTATCACTTCTTTTAAATAACTATGAACACAAAGTAATTATGTTCAAATTTAAAGAAAAAATTACAAAATCAAATACATTAAGGAGCCATCTACAACTTGATATTATCCATATGCTACTTTTTCACTAACATGAGAGCAAAATGCACTAGGATTTTAAAAACAGTAGTAAGAACATGCATTAATGAAATCAGTAGAATCTCTATAGAGACTTAATGTCACATAGATTTTTGTACTATGAAAATCTTTCACAGGATTTACTCATGTATCTTTACTGCCTAAAAAGATAAGTTGAGTCTAAGACTTCTGTCATTCTCAGTCAGCTTTTCAAGGGGAAGTGCTCAGTAAATGAGTGGGAGTTAGTAGTTTAAATTTGATAACAATACTATTACACTATTACAACATTGTAACATCACTGCTACAACATTTTGAGTAATTTTTGTTTATAATCTTTATTATAATACTGCGTGATTATTATCTTTATTGTTAGGTATGTTGCTGAGTCCTTGCAGTGGCTTGTGTATTATTTTATTTATTTATTTATTTAGGTACCAGGAATCAAACTAAGGACCTTGTGCTTTAGAGGCAGGCAGTGGAACCACTGAGCTAAATCCCCAGCCCTAGCAACAGCTTTTAAAATAATGTTATCTATAATAAGTAAACTTTGGGGAATTTTTTATTTGGCTAGAATAAAAGGCTAGAATCACAAAAAAGAATTAAAAATAGTAATCTTTGTTAAAAAAGACTATAAAATACCTGGTTCTACTGCACTGAGAACATACCATATAATTACCAAAATATCTTATAAGCAGTTTAATTTTAAAAAATCATAATTGATTCAACAGGTCTCTGTTTATTATGAACCAATACAATTACAGACTCACAAAATACGATTAAAATGTACTGGGTACTTATTTTATTTGTAGGTATGGTATCACATGATTTACCTTCTTCATTTCACTTAATCTTCATAATAAATGGTAGGCATTTTATCCCCTTTGTGGTAGGTATTTTATCCCCTTTCAACAGATAAGGTTCAAAGGGTAAACATCTAGTATATGGCAAGCATTGATAACATTTCAGTCCATACCCAGAGAATATTTCCTCTTCCAAATCATAGTAGTGCACTGATTTATAGGTGTTTCCGGCCCTAAGGTGGAGCAAGGACATTTACACATCTGTATTAATGTTCAAGGGGCTCCTCAATATGGGTTTATGATAATCACAGTTATGATGGAACAGACTGTCCAGCAAGCTAGTAAAGAGCCCTCTCTGAAGGTCATTTGTTAAGGTGAACTGATGAAAGATTTGTTAAGGTGAACTCACGAAAGACTTATTCACCCCAAGGAAGCTGGACACATTAGCTGTTTATGGCAACAAATAATAGCTGCAAATAAACTCTCATCTTACCATAAACTTTGCTAAGGTAGTCCTTAGCATTAAAGAGACACTCATGATGTTAAATTTTTCATTAATTGTTATCAAGAAGCACTGTGGTCACAGCTATGTAAACTGATTAAAAGGGTCTATTTTTTCTCTTAGTAGTAGCACTTACTGTGATTTTTCATCTGTTTCTGGTAGTGGACCTTTCCAAAGCTCAGACTCTGAAGCACTTTCTTCCTCATCAGAGATTTCTGCTCATTTAAAGGAAAATTGTAAATAATGTGTTATATTTAAAATACATTTTGGGCTGGGGATTTAGCTCAGCAGTTTGGTGGCCTGCCTCACAAGCTCAAGGACCTGAGTTTGATCCCCGGTACCAAAAAAAAAAAAAAAAAAAAAAGAAAAAAAAAAAAAAAAAAAAAAATGAACAAAAAATACAAAAAAACATTTTGCTCACCAATGCAATTAACTTTGGACTTAACCTCAATTCAGCTTCAATTTTTATAGTTTTCTGGAAATTTAATTCACTCTTCCAAATATAATAAATTCTTTTAAAAATAAATAATTGGAGAAATATCTGTCTCAGCAAAAAAACATGAATTTAATGTCTCATGAAAAACTTGTCTAAGCTAACTTAATGTAGCAATTCCAATATTAATTCTTATAAGGGAATAATCTCCTGCAATACAGTTTTCCTTAATTTGTTATTCTTTTTCTTGGTCATACAACAGACATGTAAGTTAAGATTTCTGATAGTATATTTATGTTAGGACCAGTACTTCAAGAACTGAGCTATTCTGTTAAGACTAATCAAATTATAAAAACATGTCAGACATTTTGTCAAACTGATATTTATTACAGTAAGTAGAAAAAGTCTGTTTCACTGATGAAACAGCCATTCTCATACACTGTTTAAAGAAAAAATTCTATAACACTTTTTCTTGCGGAAAATTTGGCACTATAGATAAGTTTAAGGTATAGGTGCTGTGACCAGCAATGCTGATTTAAGAATTTCATTATTTACTTAAATAAGTATCTCAGATATATATATGTACAAAGATGCAGACTGTATACTCACAAAAGAAAACAACCAAATTTCCCACTAATCAGTGATGAAGGACTGAGTAAATGAATATTATGCACAACTGTCTTTTAAAAACCTTAACCCATCTATAGGTATTTCCAGGGGAAAAGTGTCCATGCCATATCAAAATTTTTAAAAGTTACAAAAAGGGGCTGGGAGTTTAGCTTAGTGGTTCCACCTCCTGCCTCGCAAGCACAAGGACCAGAGTTCAATCCCTGGTACTTAACAATAATAATAATAATAATAATAATAACAAAAACAACAGAAAGTTTGCCCAGTATAATCCAATTTATGTTAAAATATTTTATATGTTTTATGCATGTAAATTTATATAACGCACCACAGGATTATAAGGACTAATCATTTAAGAGTGACTGTATTACCTGGGAGCCTTGTAGACTTTTGCTTTCTATTTTTAAACATTTCCAAATTGCCTCTACCAAAAAAATGAGGATGGATTAACTTTAAAATTAGTAAAAATAACAAAAATACTTCCATCTTGAAAGTTTAAAAACAGACATGTTTCAAATGAACTGTATTAGTCAACTAAAAATATTAAATACTGGAAAATATATTATTAGGTAATGAAACCATATTCCACAAAGTAATTACATTAGTAAATAATTCCTCTCCAATAATAACCATATGTCTAAAAAAGAGCTTTTCCTGAGGTACTGGTCCTAACATAAATATGCTTTCTACAAAAATTTTAACTTACTTATCTGTTGTATAACCAAAAAGAAGAATAAATTAAAGACATCTATATTAAAAAAGATAATTCTAAGAGTTAATATTGAAATTTTTACTTCAACACAAATTTGGCCTGTCGGTACAGCATGTCCTTTAGTTCAGCATAACACAAAAATAAGTGTTGATTTGCCCTGGTGCTTCTAGTCTTTCACCTGCTGGACCTTGATCTCTGAATCAATGTGTGTGTCTGAACTTTGGTCTTAAATTCATCTGTTGTGACACTAATTTTAACAAAAATGGAAATTGGGAGGGGATTTAGCTCAGTGGTGCCGCTGCCTGCATGGCAAGCAGAAGGTCCCAAGTTCAAACCCCAGTACCAAAAGAAAAGGAAAAAAAAAGACTAGACTAAATGACCTTTAAGTTCCCTTAAAATCCTGACTCTAAAACACCTGGTTCGGCCGGGGATTTAGCTCAGTGGTTTGGTGGCCTGCCTCCAAGCGCAAGGACCCGAGTTTGATCCCCGGTACCACAAAAAAAAAAAAACACCACCTGGTTGTCTGAGGGTGGCAGTCACTACAAATCATTGCTATACACTCCAGAGGTGGGAGGGGCACTGCTAAGGAAATAACAGGAAAAATAGCCAGTGCCAAATGAGGCTCTTACAGCAAGCACCACAGTCAGATCTCTGCAGTAATTATTGGCAAATGGGGATCAGAATTTAAGTCACTAGTTCTCTTGAGTTAGAAGAGAAACTTGGAAGTCCCTTAGTCCAGCCCTTATCTGAAGAATGAATCTCTCATTGCAACATCTTCAATAACAAGTAGTTGTCTGATCTGTGCTTGCACACACTGAAGGAGCCCATTCCTCCTTTCCTTTTATTAGATAGTTCTAAGTGACCAATTTTTCCTTAAATTGAACATCTGTTTCTGTGCAATTTTTATTCATAGATTCTGGGTCTGCCAGCCTTAGGCACCAAAAATAACTCTTTTGCATAGTAGCAGTCTTCCAAATATCAACAGTTTCTAGGTCTACCTCCTCACCTCTTCTCTCATCCTTTCACTTTTCTCTAAACTAAACACTGGCAGTTCAGCCAACACTCCTATGACACTGTTTTAATTGATCTTTAAGAATTTGGTTGGGGGCCAGGGATTTAGCTCAGTGGTTCTGCCGCCTGCTTTGCGAGCGCAAGGTCCCAAGTTCAATCCCTAGTACCCCCCCAAAAAAATAATTTGGTTGTTTTCTTCTTGGCTTCCTTCAATTAATTCTTCAGTGTTCCCTTTATAGGATGGTGCCTAAAACTGCGTATAATTTTCTCTTCATGCTTTAAATAATGAAAGCAGGTCTATCATCTTGGTTTTTGTGGATATTATATGATACCTAAAAACTCACTCATTGAAAAGATGGCAAATGTCTCCAATGATCACAAAAAATGGATAGATAAGATGTTCACAGACTTAAATCTGATGAATTCCATACAACAAATACAGAATCTGTTTAATGTTTGCTCTTTTTCTGTGATGTAACAATGATAGCTATAGATTATCAAGGACTTCCTTTGTGTCAGGCACATACTTTCTGAGTATGCATTTTCTCATAAGTCTGATAACTAACAATCCAACAAAGTAAGTCTCTTTATATCCACTTTATAACAGAAATGAGACTCTGATGGATCAAATCATTTAATGTGGATCTATTTAATGTACCTGACGAAATTAGGGCATAAAGAGTGGACCTTCATTTCCTTTTCTAAGGCATAGTAGATGGTACAGGGCACAGATTTTGGAATTATAAACGTGTTTAATCCAAACTCTGCCATCAATAAATTCTCTAGTTCTCAGGAGATCTAATGTAATAGCATGGTGCCTATAAGTCACCACAAACGGACAACCCTTCATAAACCCACAGGAGGCTCTTCTTTCAAATCTGTCAGGAAAAAGCTGAATCCTGAGTTCTCTGTTACCCTACAGGTACTGTGAATCATTCTACTCATGGCATTGCTATTTGGTCTGGCTCACAGGAAGTTACAATAGAACAAACCTATTTGTCACCACAATGACAAATCTGTGATATATCTTTACCATCATGCAAACTTTTTGACGTGTCTGTGTTAATTTTACTTTAGCTTTATATGGTTATTCTACCTTATTTTGCCATTATTCTGATTTTTACCTTAAAAGTCTCATATGTACTTTAAAAGTTATCATGAATTCTTTTTGTAATACTGAAGGAGAAAAATAGAATTTATAGCAAATACAGTAATACTTCGGTTCACAAATGCCTCTGTTTACAAAGAGAAGCGTCTGGCAAAATTTTGTTTCCCTTCCCAAACTCTGTATCAGGTCATAGTTACCTTCCCTACACAAACACAAACACAGCCATCTTCCCCCAAATCATTAAAGAAATTAAATTCATAAATCGAGATACTCCTGTTTTCAGTGAAATCCAATCTGTTTTGATTCAAACTGGTGAAAACTCTAGGTCTACTTAAAATACTAACCAGCAGCAACCAGCTGTCAAGATCCTCCTTTCCATGCACAAACCATATACTCCATTCAATCAAAATCACCAAACTATCATGCAATATAAGCAACCTCCCTTAAATCTTAACCCAACCCCATTCATTTTCCATTCCAACCTTACCCCTGTATTTCTTTCTTCACCATTTATAATGTGAAAGTAAAATGTGTTTCAATTATATTTACTATAAAAAATACACTTAATTGTAATGCTCTCTATAATTAAAATAAAAAATTTTCCATTGTTCTTGGGGAATAGATATTCACTTTTGGCATTCTTTCTAGGATTCTTCTCATGAGGTACAAAAACACAAGTAATTCACATCAGATTGAGAAATGATTCATAAGAAATACAAATTACAAATACCTTGAATCTCAAAAAAAAAACACTTGATACTTACTATTTACAGAATCTTCTGATTTCTTTGAAGATGAATGGCCTGAAAGGGAAAGAGCATTCTTTTATTAAGTATTATCTTGAGGTGGTTTGACAGTAGTAGCTACAAGCATAATTCTTCCCAATGGTCTAGTTTGTTTACAGATAAGCATCTCACTGCTTTCCAAATTTTCAGGTTCCTCAGTCGTATCTCTGCAATTAAAATGTTAGTTCTTTTTAGGGAAGAATCGTATCTTAGGCTTTCCTATAGCCTGGAATAGGTAGCACAAAACTTAAAAAATGGGGCCTATAAAAAGCTCATATTGACAAAAAAACAAAACAAAACAACTCTCAGATTACAACATAAGCAATAACTTCTTTTTCTGTTTGTTTTTTTGAGACAGGGCCTCACTCTGTAGTTCAGACTCGCTTTGAACTATGTGGCCCAGGCTGCCCTCAAACTCACAGCGATCCTTCTGCCTCAAACTTCCAAGTGTTGAGACTACAGGTGTGTGCCACCACAGCCAGCTTTAAGCAATAATTTTTTTTACTTGAGATGACCAACATATGACAGCAGTTTACTAATATTCATTTTCCACATTATTTTTCCCAGGGTCACGTATAGGTGACAATATGACCTTTTCCAGTTATTTACAGATGATAAGAAGACATATAATTATGTCATAAAACACAAATTTTCAATTCTACAATGGCTAAGGGAAATAGAGAAAAGCACCAAGATATATTAGTGTAAATTTTTGAAAATCACCACTATACAGAGTCTCCTTCAATAAGACCTCAGGGTAATGTTTCTGAAGGTTCTGAAGGCTAATAAGTAAAAAAAGAAAGGCAACAAATGGAGAAAAACAGTTCTAATATTCCCAGATAGGAGGTCTCATGAGCCAAACTCAATGGCCCTTTAAAGGTCAAAATTAATACAAGAAGAATAGGTTAAGCACACAAGAAATGTTCTTTCTTGCTGTCTTCTAATATGATGGACAGAACCCCTGCTTCCAAATACTCAAAGGTCTACAGCTAAAAATAAGTAGATTGGGTTTACTCTGGAAGCTGATGAACAAAATTAGAACCAAAGTGAGGGATCTCGAAGTTTGGGCTAAATGTTAAGAGAAATCTGCCAGCAAGAACAACTACCTGAAAACATAAAGGATTATTCTGGATAGCACTGGGCTCCTTTTCCCTTGTAGTACCAAAGCAAAAGCAGAACAACCACATGGTAAATAGCAGGGCTTCTCACAAACTTTATTGTGTGTTTGAATCATCCTTGGAACCTGCCAGTCTAGGAAGGGGTGGGTCTAATGTATTTTTCAAACAAGTTCCCAACTGATGACAATCTGTGGCTCTGGCCAGAGGACTGTACTTTGAAAAGTAAAATTACAGAACATCCTTTAAGTCATTATTCTAGGACTCATCTCTAAAGTTCCTTTCAACTCTGAATAACTGGTTGAACTCACTCACTCACCTCAGTGTCTCCTTTGTGGAGGAAATACTTTGTTAGGAATTGGAGATAAGTTAAACGAATCACGAAGTCTCTTCCTATACAAAAAATAAATTATTTCAAAGTTTTATGTATTTCTAAGGGAGAAGTGTAGGGTGCTATTAGAATGTGTAATAAGGATCTAATCTTGTTTGGGGAAGTAGGAGGGAGGGTGACATGAAGGGCCTATCTGAGGAACTGAGATAAAATAACCCCTGAAGAAAGAAGCGGGCTTTGGGAAAAGGATGATGGTGAGAAGGGTAAGATTTTGAACTTTCTGCCAAGACAGGTCCTTAAGGGAAGCTATTGATTTGTCTTATTTTTTTCCTTTCTGTTCATTTGGTCATCCATCTAACAACCATCTAACCCCCATCTGTTCATTTATTTAACATTTTCAATAATGGCAACCTAAAAACCTAAGAGTAGATGGGACTACATGGGGAGGAAAAAAAAAGACATCCAGGTAAGAGTTCTAAGGAACTCTAACACCTACATGTAAAATAAGGAGGGACAGCTGGCAAATGAAGCTGAGGAGAAGCCAGAAAGAATAAAATCAAGATACTAAGTTTAGTTGAGAAGTACCACCAGCCCAATAATGTAGGAATGTTAAGCATTTACTCATTACTATATAATTTTGGGCTAGATTCAGGCAATCTAACAGAAAGAATCACATTAAGATTAAGTCAGTTCCACCTGATCTCAGATAAGATATACTAAAAAGTTTTACATTGTTTTCCTAAATTTAGTAATTTTTCTTTCTCTCTCTTTTTTTTAAACAATACAGAGATTAAACCAAAGATCTTGCTAGGCAAGCACTCTATCACTGAACTCCGCCCTTTTAAAAATTTTATTTTGAGACAATGTTTCACTAAATTGCACAAACTGGCCACAAACTTGGACTGATACCAGTAATCTCAGCTACTCAGAAAACTAAGGCAGGATTCTAAATTCAAGAACAGCCTAGGCAACTTAATGAGTCCGTCTCAAAGAAAAAAAATAGAAAACACTTGGGATATAGTTCAGTGATAAAGTACCCCTGGGTTCTCAAATACCACAAAAGGAAGAAACAAAAAAACAAAGGAAGATTACATGCACATATATAATCTTTAAAGTCAAATCTCATCCCTGATGCTGAGTATCTAGCCACCTAAAATTCTGTTTTGAAAGTACTAAACATTTCTTTACAAAGTAGAGATTTACTCTTCTCTAATTTGGATTATGTGGTGGTATGGTACCATAATAATAGATATAAATGCTATCATGGTTATGCTAACATCAATAGTATCATATAACCATGGTAAAAGTATGATACAAATGCAACTGTATTATATAATGCAAGAATGAATGCAAGAAAATTCTCAAATTGTACATTAAATATTTTATTAGCATATCAGTATAAAAAATTCTAAAACTCAAATGAGATGTTCACATTTATCAGTTAAAATTTACTTTGGAACATGATTATAGAACCTGATTATGACGGAGACAAAAAGATGCTCCGCCTGAAATGCTAACTCTCGATAAGCAACAGAATAACAAATACTCTTATCTATCAATTTTTTAAGTCTAAAACCTTGGTAATACTATATATTTCAATTTGTTTGAACTCTATCTACATAATAACTTGTTATAATATAAAGAAGAAAAATTCATGTGAATGCAACACAAATAATGATTTTCATAGCTGGAGCAAGGGAGCCCTCTTCTGTCCAAATATTATATTAACATCGGCTTGAATCTAAGTCAATGTCGCATTACCTACCAAGTTTTAAATCTGATTCACTATAAGTTATAGCCAATTTGACTCTACTTTATTATGGGATGAAAAAGCAAATGGAAGCAACAGGCAGAATAGCTAATTATGAGAAATGTACTATGCAAACTGCTTATGAATATCTCATTTCAACCTCTGAATAATTCTGAGAGTTACTACTACCATGACCATTTTACACATGAACAAAATGAGGCTCAGAAAAGAAAATAACAGAGTAAAAGGCCAGTAGCATATCACAATCTCTCCAGGACCTGAAATCTAGATATCTGAAAAACAACTAGTGAAAAGAAAGGGAACAGCTCCACAAAACAAGAAAAAGCTAACTGGAAAACTAGAAACCATAGAGAAACTGGAGAAACTGAAGATAATGAATATACAACCCACAAAAAGCGAATATGGAAACAAAATAGGCCCTAGTTGTGATCTGTTATCCCTCACTCATACCCAGTGGATTCCACTACTGATTTCTAGAAAGAAACCATTCACCCAAACCACAGGAAGTTTTTGGACTTACTTCTCTTTGTTTTGGGGGGAATTTTTTTTCTTTTTCTTTCTTTTGCCCTTTGTTTATTCTTTTCTGTATTTTTTTCTTCTGTATGCTATTTGTATCTAATTCTATGAACTCTTCTTCTTTAGTTGGATTCTTTATCTCACTTTTCTCTCCTCCTGCTCACCTTCCTTTTCAAATTTTACTTTCATTTTTCCCTTTTCCCTCCTCTCCATTGTTATTACAATTAAGCATTATTATGAGAAACTAGAGTATTCATAGGAAAATGGATGCATATTGAGACCATACTCTTAAGTGAAATAAGTAAGACACACATGTGTAAATACCAAATAGTTTCTCTGGTGTGAAAAATTATAATCATAAATAAGATCCAAATGGTATAATTGACATGTGAAATAGGAAGAAAAGGGCTGAAGGTGTAGGGGAAGTGGGAAGGGTAGGGAAAATAAAAAAATATGAGAAAACGAAAAATGGAAATAAAGTGTTTGTAAATAGGGAAGGGAGGGGGGTTGAAGGGAAGGCAGGGGTAAGGGGAAAAATTGAGAACCAAGACCTGTCATGTAAAGGTACAAGATCCCAATGATGAATGTAACTGTACTGTATACCTAAAAAGTACCAAGAAACTCAATGAGAAAAAAAAATTGAGCATTATTAATTTTTTGATATTTATGACTAAAAGGTATTATTGTTGGAGTCTTTTCTATTGGTCATGGTAATGTAGTTATTGTATGTAGTAGATATTGACTACATGTCAGTATTCAATTTGTCTTTGTGTCCATTTTATTATTGCAGATCTCTTTCCTATTGTAGCTTTTACTGGTTTTCATAAGAGTTTTTTGCTGTTGCCAGAGGTGGAACAGCTGTTGCTCTTAAGTTTTTACTGTATGCTAACATCTACTCTGTCTTTGTGTCATCGCTATTACTGTGGATTCTTTTCTCTTCTCTGGTTGGGGCTGGTGACACCAACAAGAACCTCAAAGACTGTACTGCATAGGTTGAAGAAGGGTATGAACACTAAAACATAACCAAACATAAGGACACACCACAGAGACAGTTTCTAGCTACAGAGACTTCCATTATAGAGACCGTGTTTATACCCTAACTGATCTTCAACCTATAGAACATGAACAACAGAAATAGGAGAAAGCAAAGTAACAGGATGCTTCCAAAAACTCTCAGCTCCTCAAAAGCCGATCTCATGATCAGCTGAAAAGTTATAGGCAGAGAAGTCAAAAACCAAATAGTCAAAATATTTGAAAGGCTCAAAGAAAAAACATTAAGCAATTTCATAAGATGTTTTGCAAGCTTAAAGAGGATTTTATTAAAACAGATTGTACTAATAAACTGCTTAAAGAAGAAACAAACTCATTTAAGACAATATAAAATAGTTTGGTATAGAATTAAAAATTATGAGAAGACAGCAAGCAGAAATACAGATACAAAAAATTAAACAGAAAGCATGGTTAGTAGATTCAACCAATATAAGGAACTGAAGATAAGGTGGATGTATTAATATCAAAAAGTCAATGATAACCTACAAATGACAAAAGACAGCATGAAAGCTGGGTCCAGCAGCTGCTGGATGGCTCAAAAAAATCAGGCTTAAAGAAATAAAAGAAAAATTAGAAGATAATCAAAAGGTATAAAAAAATTCACTGAAATCATAGCAAAACACTTTCCAAATCTAGTGAAAGAATTTAATTTAATACAAGATGCGTGCACAACCCCAAATTGCCATGACCACAAAAGAACTTCTCCACAATATATCATAATTAAAATTCCAAAAATTCAACGAAAGGAGCTCTCAAAAGAAGCACAAATGGCGACTAAGTACATGGAAAAAATGCCTGGCATCTCTGGCATAGAGAAATGTATACCAATGAAATTCCATCTTAGTCCTGAGAGAGTGGTTATTGTCATAAACTCAAAAAAGCAAACACTGGCAAAGGAACCCTTTCACATTGTTGGTGGGAGTGTAAACTAATACAATCACTATGGAAATCAGTAGAGAGAGTCACAAAAAGTAAAAATAGAAATTTCATTCAACCCAGCTATACCTTTTCTGGGTATCTGCCTAAAAGAGTTAATGATATCACATTACAGTGATACATGCATATTCATGTTTATAGCAGCACAATTCACAGTAACTAAATCATGGAAATGGCCTGTATGTCCACCAAGAGATGATTCAAAAGATGTGGTATATATACACAGTGGAGCTCTTCTCAGTCATAAAGAGGATAAATTTGAGTTATTTGTTTTTTGGGTGTTTTTTTTTTTTTGGTACCGGGGACTTAACTTGGGTCCTTGCGCTTGCAAGGCAAGCCACCAAACCACTGAGCTAAATCCCTGGCCGGATTTGAGTTATTTGTAAGAAAAACATATGCACCTTGAGACCATAATGCTAAGTGTAATAAATCAGATAGAGTTTAATATTGCATGGTTTCTATTATATGAGAAACCCAAAGTACAAATAACTTAAAGAGCAAAATAAAAGACATAGGTAGGAAACAAAGTAGACCTTCTGTAGATAGAAAGGAGATCTAGAGATGGAGGAAGAGAGAAGAGAGGAGAAGGGGAAGAAAAAAGAACTAAGATACCATATGTATGTGTACCAACTCCCCACAATGAATGTATTCTTATGTATCACAAACAAGTACAGATTTTTAAAATCTATATTAAAAAACAGAACATGAGACTTAGAGAGACTGAGAACTGCTGAGGAAAAAGTAAGCAGCTGACTGGCATATTTGAACTTGATAATCATTTACTTAGCATACATGTACAGAACCATGCTAGGTTCTAAGGACTCGGTTATACATCAGTGTCTCTCTTTTCAAAAAACTCATTAAGTTAATGGAAAAAAATCCACACAGACCATTATAATACAAATCATAGCACTATAATTTTATACTTTCTTATGACCATAAAACTGTTTTGCAATGTTCAAAGTGCCTTTTGCTTTCTTATTTGATTCTCCACAATGTGCTTGACTGGTACAGAGGCCAAATATTCTCATTAGTCCAAAGTACATGGTACTCTGTCCAGAATAACAAATTTTGAACAAAGCTAGGAATTATACCACTCTTCACAATATTATACAATAATATGCTATCTGCCAAAAATGAATCAACACCAACCCAGTTATTAAAACACTTGCAAATCACTTATAAATGCATATCTAAATTCTCAACCAGTTTCCATTGCTATAAAACAAAATTCTAAATACATTCAGCAATTGAGTTCTACATTTGAGACATGGCAGATTATATTTCACATTCAGAAATGTGAGTAGATACTGTATCTTAATATCCTTTACCTTTATTTTTCTTCTTGGAAACTTCTTCTGGAGATAATACGGATTTTTTATGTGATGACTTTTCATAGTCTTTTTTGATTTTGGCTTTTCTTTTGTCTGATTTGATTTCTTTTCTCCTTTACATTAAGCAATACAAAATTAAGGTTAATTTTTCAACTGACCTTTCAAAAAAAAAAAAAAAAACTAATGAACAAAAAAATTGAATCAGTTAAAGCATTTAGTTTTTTAAGTGTAACTTATATAATAAGGAATCTTAAATGAATCTGTAACTATTTTAGGTTAGTAAGATAATTTTGGAAAACAATGAAGCCTAAAATGTGAGACAAACAATTTTTATAAGTTCTATATACACACAGTAAATGTAATCAGTTTTACTCAACCCTTTCTATGTTCTATCGAGTTATTTTTTAAAAATTATAAAAACAAATCTCATTTTCTTTTACATAATTCATATCCATCTACACACTGAAAAACATAAAACAATAAGAAACTGCTATAAAAACATTAAACCACTAATAATAGGAAATTCTCTTAAAAATACAGGAATACAATAAAAGTATAATGGAATGAAGATGAAAGATGTCAGATAATTCATCAGTCAGTTGTAGAACATATCCTCTTACTGTTGTAGTTTTATCTCTTTCTGGCCAGCTAAGCTGGTCAGCATCACAGTTGGAAAGCAATTAACTTTAAGAAATAAGAAAAAGTGATGATACTGAAATTGTGACTGGTAAGGAGGATAGAGAGAGAGATGATAGGATTACTTAAAAAAAAATTAACAGAACTTCCTATTTAAGATACCTATACAAAATGCTGTAATACTATTCATAGCAGTAACCATTTTTGTCTCTTGTATCAAAATCATTTCAATTTGGAAATGAACTTCAAATATCAAGGTAAAAACCACTCAGCTATACTCCAAGCCCTTTTGTAAATCTTTACTTTGAGACACAATCATGCTAAGTTGCCCAAGCTGATTTCAAATTCACAATCCTCCTGGATCAGTCTCCTGAGTAGCTGGGATTATAAGCACACACCACCATGCCCAGTTTTAGTATTTATTCTTTACAGCTATAACACTAGATAGGCACACTTAAAATAAAATTGATTTTTAAATGTTTATGAATACATTTTATCAAGTCCTAGAATCTCATTGTTAAGCCTTTCAATTGTTATTCAGGACATGAAATTTGACTAGTATAATAATGGAAAGTCATACAGATTTTTTTAAATTATTAATGCCAGCGACTATCCCTGAGAAACCCAGTGCAGGTAAATGACTATGTCCAAAGATTACTAAACATTAAAAAGTGGCATTTTAAAAGAAATTCTTGAGGGTCGGGATTTAGCTCAGTGGTTCCGGTGTCTGCCTTACAAGCACAAGGGCCCGAGTTCAATCCCTGGTACCAAAAAAAAAAAAAAAAAAAAAAAAAAAAAAATTTTTTTGGGGGGGTTTTGTGGTAAAAAAAAAAAAAAAAAAAAAAAAAAAAAAAAAGACATTCTTAGGCTGGGGCTTTGGCTCAGTGGTTCCACTGCCTGCCTCACAAGGACCCAAGTTCAATTCCTGACATCTAAATAAATAAATAATAAATAAAAGACATTCTTACCTGTGGTGAAAATTTAATTTAAAAGAACATTCTGGGCATAACCCTAAAAAGAAAAAAAGGATACCATTAAATTGCTGAATTTAAATAACTGTGCTGCAACTAGACTTTTAACATCATAAATCTTCATTTTCTTTGTTTTCTCTTACCATAAGAAGGGAAAAAAATCACAGCAAGTTCAAGGCCAGCCTGAACTACATAACAAGATACTGCCTCAAAAAAAAAAAAGGAAAAAAAAAGTACATGTATAATACATATATAATAAAATATAGAATGCTTGAGGAATTGAAAACATTTTAACATACATCACTTTAAAAATGACGTCAATTCATTAACTGTTCTATTTGATGTGAACATTAACATGTTAAATCAAAGATATCTAATAATACTATGTAATAATATGCATTATATAACAGTAAGAATAATTTGGATATAGTCACGTCCTCTAAAGTGCTCTAAAGACTCTCTAAGGGATAGGGTTTTTGAAATACAGTAGTTCCATGACTGTTGTCTCTTCTTCTGCTTTAATCCACCTACTCTGGCTGACCTTTTCCCAATAAGCACTTGCAGGAAGAACCAGTCTGATTGATACCATGTGAGTAAACTGGTAACTTCTATAAGAAATGGCATAAACTCTGAAAGTACATTTACTTAAGACCCAGAGAATTCTGAAGACCATTTACTTGATGAGGAATAAGAGCAGCTGACAAATGAAGACTAACTTTAAAAAATAATAGGACAGATTCTATACAACACATAGTAAAACAAACTGATATAGAGTACATCTCTCAGTTGTTAAGACTGACAATGAGAACAGTTATAATTTCCTAAAATTTTTCTTTACTCTCTTCCAAAGAGAGTAGACTTTTTGTTATCCATAGCCCCAACATTATGGCTAGAAAATTCAGCAATATGATATTACACATTGCTTTTTCTGAGACTTTGCCTCTTTGACATGGCACTTAGAACACACTCAAGTTCATGGGAAAAGATCTTCATTCTCCAATTACTAGCTTACATTTAACATTAGAATTCTGTTACCAAAATGTCACTATAATGCTATGAATATATAAAAACTTCAGGTTCAAAAAAATCTTTGGAAAGCTGTAAGGGAACTATCAGGAAAATATGCTAACTTTTTTTATATTGAGTTTTAAATGGTCCATACATTTTCAATTCTAAATCAGATAAACTTGGACAAAATCAATCTTATCTCCCCTAAAGTCAACTTACTTAATTTAACAAGTGCATTTCTTTTTTCACCATGCTCAATATAACCAAAATTAACTTCCCAACTCTTTAAGCCTTCTTCTGTATCACAACATTTATTTCCACAAAAAAACTGACCTGCAAAAAGGAAAGGAATATTAGCTATTGTAGTTGACAGTATTTATCAATATGGCCTGCTATTAGCTCTAAATTTTACTTTTAAAATACATAAAATCCTAGCTATATAAAGTCAGTAGTATTAACAAATAACCAACCAACCACAACAATTACAAAATGTTCAATGAATACCTATACAAATATCAAAGCAAAGAGCCGAATTATTACCAAAAAATGTTATAAATTTTGCTTGATAAATTCACTGTTTATATTTAGATACAGAGTTTTAGTGACTCCCTGCTAAGAAATTTTACACATTGGAAAATAAGAGTATTGAGTCTATGCATCAAAACCCTGAAATAAGAAATGCATTTTCCAGAGCCAGGGATTTAGCTCAGTGGTTCAGTGGCCTGCACCACAAACACAAGGACCCAAGTTCGATCCCCGGTACCACAAAAAAAAAATAAAAAAGAAAGAAAGAAAAAAAAAGAAATGCATTTTCCAAAGTACATGCACTTATACCTAGGTAAGTCCTTTTAATATTTAATTGTAACACTAAAATTAATATTTTAAGTCTTAATATAATGGCACCAATTTAAAAGAACTAGTATAAAGGGGCACCAAGAACACAAAATTCTAACACTATGTAATAAAGTACAATAAATAATCAAACTTGATACTGTGAAGTTTTAGAATCACTTGTTTTTGTCCCCTCCCCCCCCTTGCGCTTGCAAGGCAGGCTACCGAACTGCTGCAGGCTACCGAACTGCTGAGCTAAATCCCCGGCCCTAGAATCACTTGTTTTTAATGTTAACATGACATCATTATGTCTACTATATATTAAAACCTCCAGCGAAAGGACTAAGACTGATGATACAAGAGGGAAAAAAAAAGAAGAAACCCTTCAACAATTATTAACTTTGACATAAAAAGTCAAAATCAAAATTTTACTTGTACAAACTCAAAAACAATAGCTTACAATCATCTGCACCATCAGGAGCAAATTTGAAACTAGTTAATTCATTTTTATAAAAATGCTAAGAAATTACTAAAAGGAATTTAGAACATTATTATCCAAACTGCTGATTTCTACTAAATCAATCTCTTTTTACTTATGCCAAATGAATACTTTATTTAATCTACTTATTTGGTTTGGCTGTAAAACATAAACAAGTTTTAATGAGCAAAATGGCAACAAACCTTCTTTCTCCTTCCCAGTTATATGAATCTAGAGAACATTTACTAATTTTGGAAAAAGGAGTGCTATACATTTGCCTGAAAACCCAATTCAACAAAAGAACAAAATTTTTAAAATTGTGAGACATTTCAGGACCTCTCATTATTTTAAATAACTACAAACTGAAATGTAATCCTAAGAAAAGCTAAAATTTAAAAGCTTTAAATTAGTTCTTTCCCTTCTCCTCTGAAGTGATCTTTTACTACTAAAAGAAAAAAATACTACTGCATAATTTTGGGGGTTTTGGCATATCTAATTTCACACCTAACATAAAGAATATCCAATTTATAAAACACATGTTTAGTCATTTAAAAACGTAATGCTTATTTTCAGTTTAGTTTAGATTTAAAAGTTTAAAATTATTCTTAACTGCCACTATTTTCAGAAATATCATTTAAGATGCAACTGTTCTATAAAGAACTAATTCTATAGGACAGACAGTATAAAGGTATGATTTTCAGAAAAACTTTAAGAATAGATAATAACATCAATGCATAGAAGAAGCATTTACTGACTGCCAACCAAATGTCTGGTCTTTGCTACTAGACTAAACATGTGGGCTCAGTCTCAGATATTCCCTAAAATGTGAACCAGCCTGTACAAAAATTCTATTAGATTCAAAGTGATTATTTCTACTTTTAATATGGATTTTGCTCAAATACAGTAATATCAATTTATTATTCTAAAACCTACTACAGAAATTGAAAGAATCAAGCATTCTTTTATTTCTTGTTATTAAACACCTTACACCAAGGTATTAGAGACTGAACACAGGGCCTTCTCACTGAGCTACATCCCCAGCAATTTTTTTATTTTGAGATAGGGTCTCACTAAGTTGCTAAATTGTTCAAACTGGGCTTGAATTTATGACCCTTCTGCATTAGCCTCCTGGAGTGCTGGGATTACAGGGAAGTCCCACCGTTCTTGGCTAAATCTTTAAACAGTTTCTACATATCCTCCACTGAATGTTCTAAAAGTGGTAATCATTAAAGTATCCTCATCTTTGCTAATAGCATACCACAAAAACACCTTTCCTAATTTTACTTTTATAGACAATGATTTATTGTATACATAATAGGGAGGAATAATCTTACCATCTTAGATTCAATGTAACAAAATGAGCTGTTTCCTATGTAAAAGTGAAATTTTTAAAAGTTACCTTTTCCTGAAATTACTTCTTTTTCTACTCGCCACCTAAATCCAAACTAAGAAGAAAAAATTTACATTCATGCCAAAGTAAATTTAAAAGTAAACCTTTTGTTTTGTTTTTTTGAGACAAAGTCTTGCAATGTAGTTCAGGCTGGCCTTGAACTCACTATGTAGCCCAAGGTGGGCTTGAACTTGTGGTGATCCTCCTGCCTGAGCCTCCTGAGGTGCTAGGATTACAGGGATGTACTACCATGCCTGGCATAAAACATTAAATTTAAATAATAAATAAATCTAAATATGGTGTCAACCATAATGACATTTACTGTCCTAAAAGAAAATAAACCGAATTCTCATCATGTTTATTATAGATACCTGACAATATAACTGAATAACTATGAATCTGTCTATTAAGAACAACTTTCTTTCACTTTTAAAATGCCCTAAAAGTTATAAATGCCAGGCTGCAAGATATCTACGTTGAAAACTAACATAATCCTGTTTGATGGTACTGACAAGAAAAAGAGATTATGGTACAGCAAAGAGCCAGTACATTATAATGAAAAGAAGTACAGCACCTGGAGTCAGATTATATAGGTTTGTTTTAGCTCCACCACTTAATAGCTTTATAATATTGGGAAAGTTATTTAATCTCTTTATACCTCACTTTCCTCATCTGTAGAATAGAAAATGAGTATCTACTTCTTTGGGTGAAGAGGTTTACATGTGGTAATACATACAAAGCATTCAGTATAGGGACTAGCAAACTGTACATGTGAGTTTAACAAACAATGGCACACAGGCCTGTTTCCTGTTTTTTAAATAAAGTTTTATTGAAACTACCACAACCCTTTATGCAGATATGCCTTTACAACAGCAGAGTGGGTGTTTTTAATGGAAAAATTCAAATATTAATTTTTATTTGTGTACTTTTTTCTCTCAGCTAGAAGACTGCAGCTTTTTCTGAAGAGTCACCATGCATTAATCTAGATTATCCAGTCCAGTTTCAATAAACACTGAAGAATAAACCATAAATGAGTGAGGGCTGAGAAAGCTGCTCTGTTCCATATTCCTATAAAGATAGTATTTGATATTTGATTTGCAATGTAGTAACTTCAAGTAACTCCCAACTGTTGTGGTGCTTTCTGGATTAGATATGGTAACTAGGTGGCAGAGCGATAAAAGCTGTGTTCTAGAGTGCACAAGCAGCTGACACTTTGAGAGACAGCAAATGCGTGAGTTTGTAAACACTTATACAAAAATGAATATTATTATTGTCCATAAAGAATTGAGAGGCAACACACATATAAAAGGTACTACTGAGAAAATTATACCAACTATTTAAATAAAAAAGAAATCCTTATGATATAAATTTTTTTCCTCCCGAGTACCAGGGATTGAATTCAGGATCTTGCACATGCGAGCATGGCACCACTGAGCTAAATCCCCAGGCCCTTATGACATGGATTTAATATGGCTTTTTAAATAGGTTGTGTTTTCTACTATACTACAAACATAAACTACCCATAACATATATCATTTATGCAACATTACCTCTTCTCACCTTTCCAACTGACACTATCTATTCTTCGATGACCTTCTTAGCTACAAACTTGAAGTCTGAACTAGAGATAAAAATACCTTTAATATTAACTAAAGTAAGATATAAAGTGATACTAGAAACCTGCCATTATTAATTAGTACTGGTTGAAAAGTTAATTTTACTAGAATAGTTTATGTTATGTAACAGATGTGCACCTGCTTCTCTATAAATATAATCTACTAAAAAATGTCTATCAATTTCAAACATCATCTGTGAAACGTGATATTGTTATGCAATGTTAAACCATTCATTATAATCATTACAGGCTCTAGACCTCAGTCAGGATGAACAGGATCCAGTAGCCACTTGTGTTTAATTTTAGACTTTTCATGCTTCAGCTCACATAAAAAACACCCTTGCTCTTTATAAGTTCTATAGGTCTTTTGGAAATTCCCTGGCTGCCCAAGTAAAATGATCAAAATGGTACATTTTAGGTGGAGGAAAACTCAGGCTAGAATTAGCATCTTTAAAAGAATAACACGGATCATGAAAGCATAATAAAAATTAATACTGTACTTGAATAGGAATTTCCTTTTATAAATTGTACAGGCCATACCTTATTTTCTTTGTATCTACTGAGATCTGCTATGCAATATTCCTTGAATAATTTATCATAGTATTTCTTTGCAAGTCTTTTCTCCCTATATCCATAAAAAAATAAGTATTATTATGCTTAGAAATCCAACCACAGTTTGTTACCTGGAAGTGATGTCAGATAAATAACTTCTATTATATAAATATTAATGTTTTAAAATATCTATTACTTAAATGTGCACCAAATACTTAAATGTGCACCAAATATCTATATATTAACTATTAATAATGGTTCTCTTAGGGAGGGAAAGGACTGAGTTAGAGATGAGAAGTTGAATTATTCATTTTTTAACTTTTGTATCTTAGATTTTTAAAATCATTTTCAGATATTCACTTTGCCAGATGTAAAAAAATTTAAAAGAAGTATATAATACCATATTACAATATACAATGTCATAAACTAGTTATTTTTTAAAGACACAGTCAAACCATGAGAAGTTACTTTAAACTGCCAAAAATGATCAAATTAACCAAACAAGAATCCTAAGCATGGTTTTATGTCAATTCAGAACTGTCCTATGAATGGGCTGAATGCCTTGGATAAGTGACAAATAAGAAAACACAGAACAAGAAAGATAGGACTAAAACATCTGATGCATTATAACTCGTGATAGCTACAATTACCAAGTCATCTCCATTTCATCTTCTTCATTCCATAGGAATCTATGATTTTCTCGTATAACATCTAAGTCTGTCTTGTCATTTTCCCTGGAAATTTAAACAAGTTAAATTTAATATGAAATCAAAATTAATCAAATTTAGGAGGTTAAGTAATGCTATGAGATTTTTTTTGAAAACTTGAAAAATACAGAAAACTAATAGTTTTATGTATGAATACATTTATGTGCCCATATTTACAAAAATGTTTAAATATTTTCAGAAGGTAATCATAAAAAGTTCTGCTACAGAAGCAAATGTATAAAAGAATCCATCCATCCCTAGCAGGGGTTTCAATTACACAAAGGATGCGAAGTTACCAAAGCTAAGATTAGAAACATGAATAAAGCACTAAGTAAGTTTCAGAATCTAATAAAAGAGAGTAATATCACTCTACTGAGATTTAATTTTTAAAAACACAGAGAGTTTCTGAATTTTACTAGTTTCCTAGGAAAACTGAGCAAGGGAGGAAAAGTGCTGAAGAAGATTAACTGTCAAGATATAGTTTGGGGGTAGAATAAATGACTGCTGAGGTACAAAAGCTAAATTGATAGGGGAGATAAATTTGGAAAGCTGAGATAGTACTAAAGTTTTATAGAGCCCTATCAACTCAGAAAATTAAGTAAAATAAAGAAATCCATGTAAGATTTTAAAAAAAGCTCAAATAGAAGAGCCCTAAATGCAGAGAAGACTTTTATGTGTAGAAAATTCTGGAGTGAGCTTTTGTTTGTCCTCCCTTTAAAATACAAAAATGGATACATATTGAGGATATACTCTTAAGTGAAATAAATAAGTCACACATGTGTAAATACCGAATAGTCTCTCTGGTGTGAAAAACTATAATAGTACACAGGATCCTAATGGGATAATTAATAGTGTGAAATAGGAAGAAAAGGGCTAAAGGTGTAGGGAAAGTGGGAAGGGTGGGGGAAAGGGAACAAGGGAAAAGAAAAAAATATGAGAAAATGAAAAAATGGAAATAAACTGTTTGTAAATGGGGAGGGGGGGTTGAAGGTAGGGCAAAAAAAAAAAATGCAATCCTAGGGTCAGGGATTTAGCTCAGCGGCACCGCACCTGCCTTGTAAGTACAAGGTCCTGAGTTTGATTCCCAGTACCAAAAAAAGGGGGGCAATCCTAAATATTAAGATCTAAAAATATCATTGTTTCAAAGATCCCTGCCAATAAGACATGTGAGTACTACTCACATATCCTGTTATTGCCAAGATCATACCTAGCTCAGCAGGTGAGGAGGCTGCCTGTGGCCTATTGTCAAAGAAATGAGATTTATGATGATATGCATAGCTACAGACTGTGGATGGTCTCTCCACCTTATGATATGAAGGAAACTGGAACACAAAGCAGCAGAACAGTGACAATATCCAAAGACACAGTAGCTGTAGGTCTTAAAAGTTATCTACACTTCCCCCTTTCATTCTATGTAAACTTCATGACACTTACCCCAAACGCCTGAAGTCTTCTTTTTTGCCACCATAGTATAAAATATAGTCATTTACAAACTTTGTATGCCTTTGATACTGAAATGCAAGACATTAAGGATTTTATTTGCTTAGAAGTTGTTTGGTGTTATATTACTGAGTAAGATAAAAGCATAGTATGAGTTTATTTCAGCTTTTCCAAATATCCAAGTATATACTACACGTGCTTATACATTCAAAAATCTAGGAGGATATATATTAAATTTCTAAGAGTAAAGACTGTAGAGCAGAAGGGCTTCCACTTTCTATTGAACACTTTTTCAAACATATTAAGTGAAATGTAATGTTTGGAATATTTTTCAACCACATATTACTCTTGTGATAAAATACATCACATTAGGGGAGAAAGAAAGCTTCCTATTCTACTGCTGACCCGCAAACAACTTCACACCATCATTCACTCTAACAATCAAAGTAAGAAAAAGAAATTATGACTTCTAAAATTAAAGGTAAGGAATAGGATTTATCTTTTATTATTTTAAAATATAACTTTGCCATTTCAGTAAAGATGAAGCCTCTTAATAGAAAATATACTTTTATAATATTAAATCCTAACATTACGCTTTTGAAAAAAGCAAACATAAGAAATCAGATGTCATTTTTTATATTTTCTTTTAATACTTAAAAGAATCCATGCATATTTATTTTCAATACAGTGTGATAAAATATATGCTTTACTTGTTTTAGAAAGCTCAGCGCTAAACTCTAGAGCTGAGCGTGCATACAACAGAGCTAACGTCAGCTTTTGTAACTCCGTTTATGACTATATCCTATTGTAGTAAAGATACATAGGTGGAAATGGTGATTCATAACTGTAATTCCAAATACAGGAGGCTATGGCAAAAGGGTCAAAAGTTCAAGCCAGCGTATTACCTTCCCATCACTGGGATACAATACACACACATATGCAACGACAGAAGGAGAGGTTTACTTTGGCTCCTGGTTTTCGAGGATTAGGTCCATGGATGGCTAGCTCCACAGTAGAAGCATTATGGTAGAAGGGCACTGAGAAGGAAAGATTCTCAATCCATGGCAGCTAAGAAGCAGAGAAAGAAGGGAGGAGACAGGACAAGAATACATCCTTCAAGGTCACATCCCCAGTGACCTGCCACTGCCAACCTGGTCCCACTGCCAACACAAGACTTTTTGGGCTGAATTTTAGATCTAAACCATAACAAGTCCAATCTAGGCAACTTAGTGAGATCCTGTCAAAATTTTAAAATAAAAACATTTTTAAAGGGATGGGAATGTAGCTTAGTGATAAAGTGCCCCAGGTTGTTCTGTCCTCAGTAACACACACACTCACACTCAAATATATAGTGATTTAATTGATCACAAAGTATTCTAATAGAAATAATCAGAATAACACTGAGAGAGAAAAGGGTGGGGAAGAAGAAAGAGAGGAGAAAGAAAGAGCAAAAAGCACCAGATATTCAGAGATCTGGCTTCTGGCTCTTGACTACCACTAACAGACCATGGTAAGTCACTTATCCAACTAGAGCAAGGTCAGCAGAATTTTTCTGTAAAGGCCCAGACAGGAAACACAGCAGACTCTGTAGGTCATATGGTCTCTTGCAAATGTTCACAGTGGTATCATTTCAGCATGAATGCAACCACAGACAACACGTAAATGAGTAAGCATAGCTGTGTTCCAATATAATTTTTTTATGTCCAAACAAAGGTGACTGATGGAACAAATCAAGATACATGTCTCCTTATTTTTCACAGTAACAACTAATAACCTTGGACGTTATATATAAACAAGTACAAAAAGATCCAAGAACTTGGAAAGAAGTAGGTATACCAGACAGGGACCTCAGAACAGGAGATGAAATTGGCAACCTGGAAATGGTAGTGAGTATAGACTAACACAGCTTCAACAAAAGCCTGTTCTCTCTAACCAAATAACCAACATCCAGCCTAAGGATACCGGTAACTTTGACACAATTATTCTGCTCCAGTCAAATACTCCATAAAAAACACTGTGGTCCCCTACCTCAGAAAAACAATGCCTAGACTTTCATGCTTACCGCGCTGTAACTAAATGCCCCAGTGCCCCAGTGGTGTCAGAGAAGCAGACTAGATTTCAAATGCTAAAGAAATAAGTGGCAGATGATATACATGGGCAAGCTAAGCTACTAAGTTAACAAAAAAGGAGTAATTACGAACATAGTGGTACTTCTATAACTTAAAAGAATTAGAATAGCAAAATGAAACAGGTGAAAAAGAAGGAAAAACAGAAACAAAATTTTTGTAAACAGGGAGGGGTGGAGGAGTGGAAGAGAGGGCAGGGGAATGGGGAAAAAACAAGAACCAAGGTCTGTCATGTACAGGTACAAATTCCCAATGCTGAATGTGATCATAATGTACCCCTAAAAGGTACCAATACACTTAAGGGAAAAAAAAGAAACCGATGACTGCTGCTAGGAGATTAAATTGATACTGTCTATTCTCGATCCTGACCATAGCAATAAATACTCAGAAATACATCAGGTCTTGCTTGCCCTTTCATTCTCATTTTACCAGCAGCAATATGGATGGCCAGTATAGTAGCTAGTGTCAAAAGTCAGTGTCTTCTTGAAAAATCAAGTTGAGATATGGCTTCAATAAGGAATCAGAATATAAACTGCTTCTAGTTATACCTGAGAATTTAAGCCAAAGCAGGCCTAGGGACAGTCTCTAAACAGATCTAATATTAAATACCAATTTTACAGAGAATCTATGTAGCCAAGATCCAGGTAAATGAAAATAAATTACGAGATTAAAGATTAAGAGAAGTACACAAGAGGAAAATGATGAAAACTTGACAAAAACAAGTTGGAAAAAATACTTCCACGTTCATCGACTTAATGGCTTATGTATAGAATACTAGTAATATGTTTTACTATTTTTGTCTCTAAATCTTTACTATGTATTGGTAAAAGAAATTATACTTTAATGTATAAGATTTTATGCTAAAAATATAAAGTAGGATAACAAAGTAGATTTTAAAATATGTAGAAATATAAAAAAGGATACAGCATCCATAGCTATGAGATGAAACCTTCTATTTTTTGCTTCTTCCCTGTTTAAAAAAAAGTTTATCTTTTAAGCACATTCAAATATCTATATTTTAATTCATATACTCAAGCCCTCTAGTCTCTGAGTTTATAAAACATCTTAAATCAAAGAAAGTAATTTACATCAAAATATCATACCTATCCAGCAATTCTGCTGCAACTTGTTTATTGGCCACCTTTCCATGTTTTTCTTTCTGAAATGGCTTTTTGAGCAATACATCGTCTTCAATTTTCCTGGTATATTAAAAAGAAAAATGATTAAGAATTAATTTTTCTTAAAGGTTGTTTCCTAACTCTTTATATTTTCATAATTGAGTGTGTTTTAAAGAACTAGGCAGGCACTGAGCTACATCTCCAGCCCGCAGAATTCTTAGAAAAGACACACTAATTTTTTTTTTGCAGGGGGGCAAGTAGGGGTTACCAGGGATCAAACTCAGGACCTCGCATTTGTGAGGCAGGTGCGGCACCACTGAGCTAAATCCCCAGCCCAAGACACACTGATCTTTAATGAGACATTTTATACCTCCTTAATTTTAGTTAATACCTATAAAATGGAGAAGATGAAGCCAGGCATGGGGGGCACACACCTCTAATCCCCTAACTTGGGAGGCTGAAGCAGGAGGATCATAAGTTTAAGTGCCTACTAAGCCAGTTAGGAAGACACTTTCTCAAACTAAAAAATAAAAAGACCTGGGATGTAGCTCAGTGCAAAAGCCCTCAGATCAATCCCCAGTACCAAAACAACACAAAACAAAACAAAATTATAAAGCAGAGAAGATAAACAATCAAATGCATGAGTCTTAACATCATACCACCCAGGCTCCTAGTTCAAATTCTGACTCAGCCATTTATCACCTTACTCTTCATCTTGATATAATTAATTTACTTAATTTCTCTATTTGTAAAGTAGGAATGAGGAAACCTTTGGAAAAAGAAAGGCTGATTAAAGGAGATGCAGATCACAGATGATCAACCCTAGTTATGTAGATAAACATAACTCTACTGCAGAATACCCAATGAGATTTGCTCATTTTCTACTCTTATAAAGTAGTATTTTTGAATGAAAATCTAAAAAATATAAAGTACTTTGGTTGTCCATGAAGACAGAGCATCAAGAAAATGTTCATATCCCTACTATATTGTGTATAGTGTGTGTGTGTGTGTGTGTAAATGTATATATCCCTACTATATTGCTCTCTCATTGTGAAAGAATAAACCTATTTCTGTAAGTTTGGTTAGTATGAATCATCAACCACTGCTGATTAATTGACAAAATCAAGTTTCTACCCTAAACATAAAACCCAACCAAGATGCAGCCTCTTCACGACACCAAGGCTTTGTGCTGGCAGCTATCATCCCTTCCGATTCAATAAAACCTTCCATGAGCTTCTTCCTTCCACCTGTTCGTTCAGGTAAATGTAAGAAGCATCTTGCATTACAATCTCATCCTTCACACTAAGCTCACCTTGAAGGCAAGTACTAGTAAGAGAGCACCAAGCAAGCCCCTTCTGAGCTATGACGTTTCCAAGTATGAATGAAGAATGCATGCAAAGGAGAAACCTGAGATCTGTAATGTATTTCCTTTCCCTCCAATTTCAATAAACCTCTTCCCAGCGCAAAACTTTATTTTCTTATTTCTCCCACAGCTATTCTCTAATTCTGAATCAATTTATTATGATTTAATGAACAAAAATTAATTCAGTAGGGCAGTTGCCTTCACGTACACACACAATCTAAAAACTTTCAATTTTATTTATTTATTTATACCTCATATCAATCTAGAAAGGATGTGAAATACAGACAAATAAAATCACTTACCTTTTTTTCCTTCTGCTAGATTCTCCACCATGTTCATCATCACTAAAATCAGAGTCATAGCCCCCATGACCATGCATCTGCAAAGGAGTATAATGCCTAAGTTTAGAATCTATGTTGCCAATTGTTCAAGAACAGAACACTTAAGAAATAATAGAGCTTAAAAAAAAACCAATTGTTTTAAAGGAGCATGGTAGGCAGGTTACTGTTCATGGGTTACTTAGCCATCTAAAACTTTCATTTATTTTTAAATAAGCTCACCTTTCAGAAAATGCACCAACATTTTTTACCTTTAATTACCACTAAAAGAAAAAGGGAGGTTACTCTATCCTTTCCATTGAAAATTTGGCCCAGAAACTGCAAGGTGACTGTATACAAGGTTCAGCAATGCTCCACTTTTATTTGACTCAGATTAAGTTACTGTGTACAGTTACATACCCTACAAAGATGTTTCAGTCAATAGCAAATTATATTTATCTTTGGTCCCATAATATTATAATGGCACTGAAAAATTCCTATTGCCTAGTATTTTTATTATCTTTTTTCTATGTTTAGGTACACAAATACCATTGTGTTACAAGTATCTACAGTCTTAAGTACATGTTGTACAGGTTTATAGCTGAGGAGCAATAGGTTATTCCTTAGAGCCTAGATGTGTAGTACACTACACCATGTAAGTCTGAATATTCTATGATGTTCACACAATGATGAAACTAATGACACATTTCTCAGAATGTATCCCTGTCATTAAGATATGCATGACTCTACCACCAACATCGTTCCAGACATTGTACTAAGTACTTTACAAACAATGCCTGTGACTCTGAAGTTAGGAACTATTATCTCCATGCTAGTGATGAAAAAAATCAAGGATATGAATCAAGAAAATCAATGTTTTGTTTTGCTTTCTTTTGTTTTTTGAGCCAGGGTCTCACTATGTAGTTGAGACTGACCTGAAACTCATTATGTAGCCCAGGCTGGTCTCAAACTCAGTGATCCTCCTGCCTCAGCCTTCCCGAGTGCTGGGATTTACAGGCGTGCCAAGTAAATCAATTTTATAAAGCAAATAAGCAGCTACACTGACGTACTTTTTATGCCCACAATTTTAACTTCCTAATTGCCCCTCTGGAATATGATTAGTCATATCCCACAGGAATTATAGTATTTGTGAATGATACACTCACTATCAGTGAAATTTGTCCTGGTACCTTTGTCAACATATATAAAGGTTTCTACCCTCTTTTAAGTTTATTCAAGGTAAACTAGCTTACCTTTCGGCTTAGTCAATTCTATCTTATTTTAATTCATTTTTAAAGTAGCATTATTAGAGCCGGGCGTGGTGGTGCACGCCTGTGATCCCAACACTCAGGAGGCTGAGGCAGGAGGATCACTGTGAGTTCAAGAGCAGCCTGGGCTACATAGTGAGTTCCAGATCAGTCTCACCTACATAGTGAGACCCTGTCTCAAAAAAAAAAAAGCATTATTAGAAGTGCTCAAAGACTTCAGTTGTCAATTGTGTTGGGAGAAACTCTTGGCTCCAGCATTACGCTGAATTTGGGACACACATTAAGGGCAGACAAAACAAAAACAAAAACCCTACCCTGGCTTGCACCCTTCAAGGATGAACTGGTTCCACATCCTTACTTTCTTCCTAGTTTGACGGCGTAAAACCATCGTGTGGAGCTTGGCGACATGTTCTAAAATCAGTCTACCAGACTCCAAAGCATAGGTATGCACTTCAGACTCATCTTTCTCTGGGCATGTTCCTATCCTCACTGGCCAGTTTGCCACTTATAAAACAAGGCTAGTGAAAAGACTAATAGACTTAACACATCTACAGGGCTTTTAAACAGTGGCTGGCCCATTAAACCCTGCAACGTTAACTATGAGCACCATCGTCATCCTGCTCCTTGACCTGCACTACCACTTCCTGCCCTTGCTCCCACTACCCCATTTTTCACAGGCAGCTTTAAGTCCCATACTCAGTGATGGGGGCGGGGGGAGCGTTCACTCACTTCAAGCTACGAAATCAACTGACAAGAGTCAGAGAATTTCGAAAACGAAGACGCCGAGTATTTCCGGAATCTGTCACCGAAAAAAGAATATATTTTACAATCCACAAGTAGGAGGAACGAGTTTCGAGGTCCTTCTTCCCGCCACCAAATACACTCGCGGCCTTCCTCACACACCCCCTCCCTTCCGTGCCTCCCTGCTCTGCCAAGTTCGACCTGCTGAGTTGGGGCAGCTTCAGCGACCGCCGACAGCCCGAAGAGCCTGAGTTACAGGCCGACCCCTTCGGCCAAGGCCGCGCAGCGCATCACCGCTACTAAGGCCGCCGCTTACTCCTCTCCTCTCCGATGGGGTCCGACCCGGAGCCGCTTCCGGTCTGACTTGGCCGCGTGTCACACCCAAAAGGCACCGTCCCCGGGAACGTCGATTTTGTGCTACAACCAGGACACCTACGGGAAACAAGGGTGACAGAAGAAAAGGCCCGGACGGGGAAGCGTAAACTGGTCGCCTTACACGAAGTGCAACCTCCACGTTTTTCCTGGGGCTCCATTCTTTCCCTTCTCAGAGTCTACCATGTAATACCGTGAGATACTGCCTGCAGCTCAGCCTACGCCCGTCACTTAAAAATATATTTTGTTTTAGAAGAAAAAGCCTGCCTGCCTATCACTAGCCGTTCTTCCTAGTAACCTTAGTAACGCCTCCTCAGAGCACACTCAGGCAGCATCTCAGCCTCAAATCAGCCTCTCCCTTTCCCCTCTCCTCCCAGTGAAACAGTTCTCATAATTAGAACAAAAATAGCTTTCCATCGTTCACCACCCACACAATAGACACTGTTCTAAATGCAGTGTCGGTGGCAGAAGAACTCATCGAATTCGTGAAGAAAGAGAACAGAGAGTAGGAGAGATTTTACAGGGTCGCGGTTTCTCTGCCAACAAGGGACCTGGCACATGTGAAAAGAGATCCAAAATAGAATCTTAAAAAAAAAAAAAAAATCCAGGCAGGAGAAATTAAATTATTTCAGTCTTCACCAGGTTCTCCCTAAATTGTGCCTTTCCTGCTTCAAGACGCCCACTCTGCTTTCTACTCTGGTTATTGAGTTCAGGTCTTGTCTCCCTCAGGCATCTGCAGTTATTCATTTTTTCTTCCTCCTCAGTACCCAACCTGTGACTTGGAAATCACAAACCCTAATTAAATATTTGTTGAATTGAATTGGCATGCCTCTGGCGTCTGCAACGGGCTCTTTTTATAGAAAACCTTGGCGCTTAACGAACGTTCATTGTACATCTTTTGTCCTAAACAGTAGATAATATCCTTATCAGTTCCGTACATAATATCCTTATCCTTCTTATTCTTGACAGTAAATTATAAATGCATCCTGCTTTACCTAGCACAGTGAATGTGATGTTGAAAAGCTGTATCTTAAATAACTGCAAATGCAATTATTTCAAATGCAGTTGGATTATACTTCAATAGAAACGTTTGCTTAAAAATTTAAAGCAATGGGAAGCTTCACAGTTTAATGTTATTCTATAATGAAGTATTTTGTCAAGTAATTCTTTTTTGGCAAATATCTTGAAAATATACTTTGTTATTTTATTTATTACTAATAAAATTAAACAAGTGTACCTTGTATCCAATTACTCTTCTACTGATATTAGACATTTATTAGCATTTTTCTTTCATTTCTAGTATCTTCTTGACTTCTGCTTCATACTTGCTTCTTACTTTTCCAATAACCCTGTGCTGCTGGCATTAGCCTCATTTTTAAATAGATGAGGCAAGAGAGGCACAAACCTAGTCAGGGTTTAAAACTGGGTGTTAATTGCCTCTCCACAAGACCTAGAGCCCAGCCCCCAATGCATGGGTTGTGTGGGAAGTAGCTTCTGGTTCCAACATTTCTAAGAATTTCATTTCTGTCACTACAGTCCATTCAAGCAAAGATTTTTTATTTTTTGTTTTGAGCAGCTACTGAACGGGAGTAAAGTGAAAACACTTGCTAGGGATAGATCACATGATCTGAATTTAAAACAATGACAAGAGGATATAAAATCTGTCTGATCAGAAAATTTCAGATTAGCAATTATAGTTCAACAGTAGTAAAAGACACAAATTTTATTAAGTGCCTGTTCTGGGCAAAGCACTTGCATGATTATCAGGGCTATAAACATATAAAAGCCATTCCTCAACCTTGAGGGGGTTGACTAATAAGAAAAATAAACTATGTGAATAGTAACCATGGCATGAACCTGTGGTTCACATTCTCTGAAGCGTGTTATTTCAATGAATAAAAAAATGTAATCATGAATCAATATTGTATAACTCCAATGAAGCAACATATGGTAGATAGAGGTAGTGGTGAGCGAAACTGGGTGGTGATGGTGATAATAATATCAGGTAATTTTTTTTGTTCTTTTATTGAGTTTATTGGTACATTTTAGGTATACAGTATAGTTACATTCATTATTGGGATCTTGTACCTTTACATGACAGGTCTTGGTTCTCATTTTTCCCCTTGTCCCTGCCCTCCCTTCACCCCCTCCTCCCCTCCTCATTTACAAACACTTTATTTCCATTTTTTCATATTTTTTTCTTTTCCCTTATGACCTTTCCCCTACCCTTCCCACTTTCCCTACACCTTTAGCCCTTTTCTTCTATTTCACATGGTCAATTATCTCATTAGGATCTTATGTGCTATTATAGTTTTTCACACCAGAGAAACTATTTGGTAATTTTAAAAATACAAGCTATAAATGTCTATTCTGCTGATACTGTATATCTGTGAGATTTCATTTTCCAAAACTGATCACATTGGTATTTCCCATTGCACATGCTTTCTTATGACGCTACGCCATGGCAAGCTGGTACCTGTGGGCCCAGCCTTGGAGAGGCATGTCAATGAGTATAGTACAAGTAATGTCCAGGGAAATAGAAGACTAAATTGCAAAAGATAATAGAGCTCCTGCTTGGCTCTTCTGTCTCCTTCTGTAGCTGACTTTTTTTTTTTTCTTTTGGTACTGGGGATCAAACTTGAGTCCTTGCACTTGTGAAGCAGGTGGTGGAACCACTGAGCTAAATCCCTCACTGTAGCTGACTTAAAATAGAGTAAAATGAGCTGTCTTTCTGAACCCCCCGCAGATTGCAGATCCATAAGCAAATTAAATTAAATGTTTTGGAGTGGCTTGTTATATATGAGGAGATAACCACAACCACCTGTTTCTCACAACATTTGATAAGACTTCAGCTTTTTCAAATTTACTATTCTCTCCATGTGAAATCCCTCTATATTTGTTTAATCTGTTTTTATCCTTCAAATCTGAACTTAGATGAAAGAAGGCTTTCATGAACAAACTGTCATTGTAATTTGCAGACTAGGTAAGATTTCCACAATACACATGTTATTTTCTGCAGAAATTAACTACACAAATACATATGAATAATTTAGTAGTTTCTGTTCCTCTACTTTTTTAGTTCTCCTTGCTCAGACAGTGTAGCACACATAACAGTTCAAAACTTTTAGGTACTATTATCCCTATTTTACATATAAGGAAACAGACTTAAAGAAATTAATTCTCCCAGAGTCATAAGGAAATAAATAGGGACACAATTATAACTGACTTCAAAGTTCATACTACCAAACACCTTATTTATAGCCTTTCAATAAAGCCTATGGCATTTTTGACACAATATTAGAATTTATTTTTCATGAAGAAAAATTAACCAATAAGTTTATCAGAACAACTGGCAAGAAATGCTGGTGATGAAAATGAAGAATTTAATTGAAGTGTGAGTTGAAGAAATAGAGGATAAAAGTTTTGACTCATTGGGTATGTTGGGTGAAGAACACAGAAGTTAAAGATGGTTTCAAAGCTGAAGAGAACTGAAAGAAGATAAAGTATCCTGACCAACATGTACAAGGTTAAGTAAAAAAATGACACTGTCTTGGGGAAATGATAAGTTGGGATAGGAATTTGAAACAAAACAAAAAATATAAACAAAGCATATAAAAGACTAAAAATACTTCTTCAGGGCCAGGGATTTGGCTCAGCGGTTTGATGGCCTGCCTTGCAAGCGCAAGGACCCAAGTTCAAGCGCCGGTACCAAAAAAAAAAAAAAAAAAAAAAAAAAAACCTTCTTCCATGCAAAATAATAACATTGTGTGCTTTCTTCTAGCCGTCTCCACCCCTTCACTCCATCCGTTCCACCTCTTTTGTGGGTCCCCATTCCTCTCCAGCCTGCACCCCTCCAACACAACATTATTGCTGTCCTCTGCATCAAAACTTCTCTGACTTCAAAGTCAACCAGACCTGCACTGGAATCTGACCTTGTCATTCACTATCTAGGAGACTTTGGACAAGTTATTTTTTGAGTCTTTATTTCTTCATTTATAAAATAGGATAGTGATAGTATCTATATCATAAGGTATTGATGAAGTTTAAAATTAAATGAAACAGATCCTGTAAACATAACGAAGACTTTAAAACATTAAAATATGAAGACCTATTAAAAATTAAATGATGCAGGTAAAATGATGTCTGGTATATGCGAAATAAATGCTATGTCAGGAAAGAATATGATTATGGACATTCTTTTCAGAGAATAAGTTTTTTTTTATTTTTTTCTTTTAATTGAGTTTATTGGTACAATCTAGGTATATAATACAGTTACATTCATTATTGGGATCTTGTACCTTTACATAATAGGTCTTGATTCTCATTTTTTCCCCTTGCTCCTGCCCTCCCTTCACCCCCTCCGTCAAGCTTTTTTTGTGGTACTGGGAATCGAACTCAGGATCTTGCACCTGCAAGGCAAGGACCACTGAGTTAAATCTCTGGCCCCAGTCAAGCTGTTTTTATCCTTTTCAAAGGATCTGTTCTCAGCTATAATGGTATGCCAAAACTTGTCTGCTGGACC